AGGAGCCGTATAGCAGTAGGAGGAGGAGGAGGAGCAAGGAGGCACTGGTGCTGGTGCTGGAGCTGGGAGGATTCCGAATGACGGACGTGCTTGGCTGCATTTTGGTGTGTGCGTCAGAAACAGGCGAGAACCGGGAACTGCTAACTGCCAGCCAGGGTCCGTTGATTGAGGCACTCGGCCTGCGCGGGGGCAGCCCCGAATGACTGAATGAGTGACACCGAAACAATGTGCCGCGATAGCCGCCATCGCCCGCGGCTCACTTTCGTTTTCGTGGCCCTGACACCGCCATGCGCGATTCGCGATTGGGACTGCGATTGCGATTTGCGATACGGTTTCCAGAGCAGAGCTCCCCAGGCAGCCTTCACGCACATTCAGCTCAAGTCAGCTGGGCCACAAGTTGTTCTCTGGCGCGTAATTCGGTCTCAGGTGGGGAATACCAGGGGTTAAAGCCTTTGGTTTTATTTTAAAATGAGTTTTGTGTATATTAAGAGTCACAGTATTATTATTCAGATCTGGAAATATTCATACAAATTGGGTTCATTTGCTATATAAGAATAAATATGAAGAAAAGGGTACAAAAAGGCTTTCTATGACAAAGAAAAAGGTAACAAAAGACTCCAATAAAGTTAAAATATATATAACTTGTGAAATTTAAAAAATACAATCAAATACCATTAAATCAAATCGATATTAAATATTTCAAAAACAATAACTTATAATTTAATTGAAGCCTAGAATATCAGTAAACTTTGTTCGATTTTTAAACTACAAGTTACTTAAATAAATAATTTATAAGTTAATTTGTAGGGTAATCAATATCCCTATTAAATGTTTGTATGCCAGCGCCTCTGACATTTTGACTGCACATCTGTATGGGTACAACAAAAGCAACAATTAATATTGCTTTTATTGTTATTGTAGGCTGTAAATTTTTGAAACAACGTTGCCGACTCTGACGCTGACATCGTTCGGCGCTGACCTTCTCAAGTTTGTTTGTTTGCCTTGTTGCGACGCTTCAGCTTCAGCTTCAGCTTTTGCTTTTGTTGGGGCCAAAGTTTTATTTGTTTACTCAACTTGCCTCGCTGTAAGACCCCTGAGAGGCAAAATGCTGCGTACAATGCTCTCAAAATAGAAATCCAATGTGGTCGAATGCCTTGTGGAAAATCAATTTCAATTGTCTCGCACTTATCGAAAAAAAAAAAAAAAAAACGCAGATATATCGCATTGAGTCAATCTTTTTCGCTTTGTTTGTGTTTCGGCATTTCGTTTGCACTTTGCAATTGAAAATTTCAATTGTAAATAATTGTTTAATTATCGACAATTGCAGCTGACTGACTGAGAGAGCACAACAAAGCGTTCGTTTAGCCTGCCTGCGTCATGATTACCCACCCGGCTGTTGCTCCTTCTCCTCCTCCACCTCCTGCTGCTTCTCCCTTGACCCCTTTTAAGCCACCGCCCAGTGCAGCCCATTACCCCCCATCAAAAGGTCATAAACCAAAATCTGAGTCATGGACTTCAGTGAACGAAGAAAATATATGATTATTATGCATACGCGATGTAGGCGGGATAATTAAAGAGAGCTTGGCATTTGGCTGTGTAATTACCATGTATTTCACTCGATGCTCCATGTGTCTAATTAACCACACTGCGTATACGCAATCCGTATATTACGTACACGCCGTGGTGTCCACGAGCGCATTACGGCCATGAATAATACATCAATCAGTCAAATCGGATTGCATTTGCTTTCCTCAACCGACTTTTATTATTATTTTCCTGACAATTTTGTTGGATTGGTTATGTGGCAAAATAGCTTGGCATTAAGTGCAGTTGCACTGAAAAAAATGGAACTATGGCATATGAGCTCCAGAAACTCTTGCTAGAAATTAAATATAAATAGAATAAATAGAAAAAGGATTTCTACTACTTTTCCCGCTTTAATTGTCATCTTTAAGACCCATTTATTTCTCTTTGTGTGCTTCAAATACTTGGACAATCTCTGATCTAAACTACCGGCACTCAAAAAACTAGTTATGTCTGCAACTGCAATTGTCTGCCGTCGTCCATCAGCTTCTCTGCTCCACTTAGCATTATTTTGCGGCTCCAACTTTCCAATCGCAGCCACTAAAACACTCAGGGTCTGTCCGTTTTCCACTGCCCCGCATCTCCATACCAATCCCCATCCGTTGCTTGAAATTTACCAAGGCGACATCATAATTTGCGGGCCCAACCTCGGCGCATGACAAGTTGCGCCTGCCATGCGATACGATGGCCGTGTTCAATCCAAAGCGAGTGACTGACAGCCGCTTTGTCTAGCCAAGACTTTCTGGCCAAGACTTTCACCAAGCATACACACAAACACACATGAGCATAAGGAAGAGTTGGGTAAGAAATATAAAGAAAGAGAGACAAAAAGACAAAAAGAAATCCCTAACCTACCACACCTCAAAGTTCGAATCTCGAAAGCAAGAAAGAAAGGCTGTTAAGGCCATAATCAAAACAGAAATGCGAACAAATCAGCAAACGAACGTAGAGACTTCATTATGTTGGGCCATCAATCATGGCCAAAATGAAACGCGATTGCCGAGTTGAATGTGCCAAGAGTCGCAGACAAGACACAAAACTAAAGAAAAATACAAAATAAACAGTTGCCACAAAATCCCCGATGCCAATCCGCATCATTCCCTGCCGCCCCATTACCAGCGCCAGCCCGAAAGTTATGGCCAACAGGGAGCACAAGCACATGCACACACACACACAGTCATCGACTCTTGTGGTCAGAAGATGTGGGAATGGCCAGGAGAAAGAAACAGAGAAAGACACAGGGAGAGAGAGAGAGAAAGAACGAGACTGGGACTATCGGTGGCACAATGAAGTGTTTAGTAAACAAATTGCGGTTGCCTTTTGATAATACGCAGCTCAGCTTAGCACTCGAAGGGAGTGGAAGCTGTGAGCAGCTCTTCGGGGGAGTTTGCTAAACGATGCAAAGCCAGAACAGGAGCGGGTGGAAATGTGGAGGTGGAGGTGGCGATGGAGATGAAACTGGGCAGGGATGAGCCAAGTTATAAGTGCATTGCACCGAAATATCGATTGACGGAGCAGCTGGAGCAAGCAGCAGCAGCAACAAAAGACGACAATCAACGCTGACGGCGGCGGGTTCAGACATTCAACTTAAAATGCGTGTGTGTGCACTGAGAAAAAAGTGAATAAGCGAGCTTAATTAGCAATGATTAGAGAAAAGGCCTATATTTACATATAGCTGAAAATTTAATATGGTTTTCTAAGGGTAAACATAATTTAAATATGAATTTCTTTGTTTCTGCTAATTGCTTTAATTTGGCACGCACATTCTTGGCAGAGTTTAAATGAAACTTAAAATAGCATGTGCTAAAAATAGCTAAGGTCCCCAGTATTTAGCAATTTCTGGGTCACTAATAAAAAACAAAAAACTGAGAAAAGACTTGCCTAAAATGTTAAGCTTCTAAATATTCCTTAAAATCATTTCACAGATATTTTTCAAGCGAGAATTCTCTCGCTAAATTCCTCTTCATATTCAGGTCACATTTTTCCCAGCGTGCACTCGTCCAAGTTTGTTGGAGCATATTAAAAGGACATTGAATGTGCGGCGGGGCGTTGGGTGGCTGCGTGGGCGGTGGATCCAGTTCCACTTTCAGCTTCAGCCCGCTCGGTCGTTCGCTCGGTTGGTTTGTCGGGCGTTGGCGTTGGCGCTTGACGGCATCAACGTCACGCAAAAAAACCAAAGGGAAACAATAAACTCAAATTAATGACCTCAGCCGGGGACGGCGATGGAGACGGAGAGGGGAACAGTGACGGGGATAATGGAGACAGAAGCCAATAAGACCTGCAAGAACAACAATGTCAGTGGGGAACGGGAGGTTCCAGAAATAATCATAATAATACCAAGACGAGCGAGACCAAGAGACCAAGACCAAGACCAAGACGAGCGAGACCAAGGAAAAAGAGCCAACACAGAAGTCCATGTCTGGGCGTGATTTACCGTTAACAGTTTTTTGTTGTCGAAAATTAATCTTATTGCAGGCGATTTCACTGCGATTTTCACTGCACTCACAGAGTGTGCTCTGTAAAGCGCTGCACAGACACAGACTTATACAGAGAGATATATACAAATTGGAGCTGCCCCCAGAGCTGCTCCAAAAGCGGCAGATGGTCATGGGGATTCATCGGCTGGCTTGGCTCCTCTCAGATCTCCATCTCGGCAGAGTCAGACCAACTCTGCTCCGTGATTATGCAGTCGACGTCGCTCTGCCATCGTCGTCGTCGTCGTCGTCGTCACAGTCGATTTGTTGTCAAACTGGTTTTACAAATATTTTGCGTTAATCTGGAAGCCCCAGCGATGTGGGGTTTATTGAGCGGGGAATCAGTTACATTGCCATAGAGCCAAGTAAAGCTCAGTGAAAGTCCGCTGTGCGCGGCAGTCGCCTCATTTTGCTTCATTTCACCCTCTCTCTCTCCCCGCCCTCTGAGTCCAACAGTTGCCATCAATTCCAGCTGCCAGCTAGTTAGCTCCCAGCACATTCAATTAGATTTAGCGCTGGCTTCGGACTCCGGCACATATAGGTATAGGTATACCAATAGCGTTGGCTTTGGCTTCCCCCGTTTGTTGGATCAGCTCATTCATGGCTCGGTATTTACAGCCAATTATGAGACAAACAAGTCCAATGCGCCAATGTTTAACGATGGCACCGTGACACGAACCCAGAAAAGTGAGAAGTTTAGTCGGAAAAGCAAAGCAGTTAAGCTCAAATACATATAAAACTTGTAGGTGATTTTATTGTCTATAAGATTTAAGAACCAAATTATATTATTCTTCACTTCAACTTCAAGTGGCCTTTTTCATCTGCTATTAACTCACATTGAGATTTTTAGGACCCAATAATATTGTTTTATTACCCTCAGAATTTTATGTTTTGTTTGTTCGGTGTGGTAAATATGTTTCACTGCTTTTGTTCATGACTTACCTGGGCATTAAAGTCAAATAGGTATTCCGGGCGCAGCGGACACGGCAGGCCGCACTTGCAGGTACCCTGTGAGAGCAGATAGTCCTTGATCTGGAACTGCGTGCGCATCGTTTTGCCCGAGGGGCTGCAAAAGAGTTGGAGGGAAAGACAAATGGATTAGTGGGCGGGCGAGATTAATTAAGTGGAGTCAGCGGACTAGCCATTGCTATAGCTGTGCCGTTATTCACCGGCTAAACGCACAATTTGTTTTATGGAAATTATGCAGTCACCCCAAGGCTACTCGTGGGCCCTGAGGCCCGCAGAATAGTGAGTATAGTATTCCAGGGGCAATTAGTCGCAGTCAGCGGCAAATGGGCGAGTGCTTGATTAGCGACTCATTAGCATAATGGGCATTAACATGACAATGTAAAGCGGGGTTCTCGCATAAATTAATCCCAATCCGTGGCGATCGCTTCGATCTGGTTTGCCTTATTGCGTTATATGTGTTATGGCTGCCATGTGTAAGTTATCTGCGTTCTTGATTCTTTGGGAAACTGCGTAATGATACAGTTGGAATTTCGGGGTGAACTGCCGTCTGATGAAAATGCGCAACAGATATATGTTGTATGTCACATTTATGCTCAACAATGGCAAGAGGAACGCACAGGCAATTCTTGAGCTCAACATCTGCGAGAACAAAGACAAGCTCATACATATGCACATTTTTAGCGCGCCTATGCGCCATAAAATTATGAAAAGGCAAAAAATTGATTTAAATTTCGGGCACTTAAATACCTTAAAAGGGGACACAGCAACAGAAAAAATGAAGAAACCCCGGCAAATCCAGTTTTAATAATGCCAAGCCCCTTGGAAGCAGGGAGCAGCAGCAGCAGCAGCAACAGCATTTCCCTTCGCAACACAACACACACGTTAACCCTTGCTGCTCCCCTCTCCAACGGGCCACGCATGACCGCAAATCTGCCGACATAAATGCGTTGTCGCATGAGCTGGGGTTACTTTGGAATAAAAAACATACTCGTTTGTACACAAAAAGAACGCAAAAATTATGGAAGGGGTACAAAAAATCGGAGCTGCTTATTAATTGTAAAGTGTGAGCACGTTGATGGAATCAAGGGCGCTGATGATGACGCCGTCGTCCAAGGGGAGGCATGGCAGGAGCTGAAGCACTCGAGAGACTGATGCCAGGGCTCAAGTTCATCATACCGTCCCCTGCTCCTGACCCTCGGCACTCGTCTCCTGTCCCGACACCGAAAGGAAATACCCATGAGAATAAAAACATTTAATTACTCATGTTAAATGTAATATTTTCGTTGACTTTAGATATTATTTACTATTGAATTAAATCTTGATAACTTTACTTTAGTTTATTTCTGAATTTTAATTATTAAAGATTAAGTTTTTTTTACAAAAATACCTAGTAAAAACTTTAAGTTCTATTTAAAATAATCAACTTTTAAGTCGGTTTCTCTGTGTGTCTCATCGAGACCGTATGGGAAATCTGAATAATGCATGAAGTGTGAAAGCGGCAAGGGCATTAAATGAAACGACGACGACAGCAACAGGAGCTGTGAGCTGTAAGCAAGGGAGTTGTGTGAGCTGGGAGCCAGGGACAACAATATAATTGAGCGACAGCAACATTCAACAGCAGCGGCAACAGCCCAGGAACGACAGCACAGCAACGAGAATCGTGTTACGGGTTAAACGAGTATGCGAATTGTCAATTGAGTAGCCCTTTTAGCTGGCCAAACAGGAGATGCCACCGCCAGTTGCCATCACATCGCATCTCATCTGATATCATCCGAGTCATAGTCTGAGTCTGAGTCCGAGTCCGACTCCAAGTCCAAGTCCCAGTTTCTCACCCATCTCGAGAGGTACTCATCAATGGCAATGGGAAAGGGAAAAGGAAACTGGTTCTGGTTTGTTTTATTAATTATTTTTAACTACTTACGAGCCCCAGAAGAGGTTTATTATGGGCGAGAGTCGAGTTCGGGATTGGAAAAATCGATGGCAAGTCGATTGCCAGACATCACGAAGGACTCCCAAAGAGGGGGAGAGCATATGAGAGAGAGACGGAGAGCCGTCATCAGCGCCAAAAGCTTATGGCTCAATTTGTATGCAGCTGGCGTGGCGAGAGGCTTAAGAGCCCACCGCTTACCATCGCCTGAGTGGCCGGGCACGCAACAGGAGTCGTGCACAGGGAAAAATTAAAATTAAGTAACCCTAAACGGATGTGGGAAAGGCCTGGCTGCAGTTGATTGCACTCCCTATTATCCTGCAGTGTACTAAAAATAGCATTTAATAGGAATGAAAATTGTGCTTCATTAATTTTTGAATTATTAATACTCAGGTTTTGATTCCCTGATGATAATAATAATGATTTTCCATTAAATTGTACATTTTAATGTTTTCACAACAAAGAAATGCCATTTATTTAGGACCTTCAGTGTATATTATTTAAATTTTTATATTTTTATTCACAGTTATTGAATAAAATTCTCAATAAAGTTTCTATTATTCCTCTCTCTGTGGCACTCGAAGCAGTCGGCAACTCATTAAATTTGTTTCCTTTTTCTCTTACCTTTTTTTTTGTTTTCTTTTGAGGTATTTGCACAAAATGCGCTAATAACCTGAGTGTCTAAAAGCACCTCATCCCCATTCTACACCATCCTTGCTTGTGGCCACATGAAAGGCGTTGGGCTAACGAGTTAAAATAATTTAATAAATTACACACACAAAACGCCAAGTGCCAAAGAGTTGCTGTCGAGTGGCCAAACGCCGTGGCCCTTCGCCCATCATCTTCTGGTTCTGGCCCTGGCCTATTCCCTGCCCAAGCCGGTGTATACTGTGCGACAAGGTGGAAAAGTTTTACGCCCCTGTGACCTTGAGTGCACCCTCGAGCCACGAAAAAAGAGTTGAGAGTGCAGACAGCTGAGAGTGGGACTCGCCCTGTCCCTTCCTCTGTCTCTCCACGGGCCGGAGGCCGAGCCTATTACTAAATTAATAATCCCGAACAGCGCAAACACAAAGCCGTTAGCAACAACAACCTTCTGGCCCAAAGGCAACTGGCAACAGCAGTGGGCCAGATATGCCGTCGCGCATAAAACTGTAAAAAATTATCGCACAAAGGCAGACAGACAGAGTCCTCTGCTGAGGCGGACGACAGATGGACGGACAGGCAATCCTTTTAGCCTGGAGTTTATCTGTTGTCCTTGTGCTGCCATGTCCTTGGCAACGCGAAAAGAAAGTGGCAAACAAACAACCCGCAGAAAGTAATCGAAAAGAGAATCATGTTCGCATAAAACTTAAATTTAAATTGTCAACGGAACTAATATATTTTAAGGATACCCTTAAGAAATCCATATAAAATGACGATTCTTGCCAAATATTCAATAGTTTTTTTAGGTAGAATTCTGAGTATAGACTTTACACAGGTTACTAAATAAGCCAAATTTTTTCCGAAAAAAAAACATAATAAATTGCCTCAAAAAAGATGTTTAAGGCTTGCTAGCTTTTTATTCCCTTATTTTGTAGGTAAAAATAACTCTGTGCTATCCTTAACTTAAAAAAAAAAGCTTTTCCCGTTTAGATTTCCGGGTTTTCCCACGATATCGGCAACGACAAATTTGCATGGTGGGCGTTGACCAAAGTCAACAAGTCAGAGAGCCAGCTGTAGCCGTAAGATTTGCAGGCAGTGCCTAAATGTGAGCAAAATAAACACATTTCAAAGGTCCGTCTGTCTGCCACTCCGGCTGAATGCCTGTCTGACTGACTGAGTGACTGACAATGCAGGCGGACTAGCGCTAGGGTATCGGATCGGAGCGGAGCGGAGGAGGCCAAGGCAAATAAAGGAGGGACCAACTGCTGATGCAACCTACGCGCCCGCTGAAAGGTTCATCCCAGCCAGAAGGCACTGCAGAGGCCGCGTGGCAGGGTGCACACACGTTCGGAAAATTGAAAACCGTTTGAATGGCCATCCAGGCAAACTATTCCGCATTCTTCTATAGACGGACGGCGACGGGGCGCTCTTTTCGCCTCGATTCGTTTCCAGTCGATTCGATCGGCGATCTCCAGCTGCCGTTTTGGATTTATGATTTATGCGCCCGCTGCCGCACAGTGGGCGGCCCCAGAGACTTGGCTGACTTTGACCAGGTCACAGTCCCGCCCCGGCTCTCTTGCCACCTTCCGTTGCCCTCGGCTGTCGGATGTCACGTTGCGCGTAGCCATTTAGCACTTGAGCAAACAGCGAGATTTAAATGCTTGCGCAACAATTATTGATTTAGTGCACAAATTGTGCAACAATCTTTCCGAGAATCAGCCAAAACGAAGCCAACGGGTAGCTCGCGGCAAGGACGGAAGCTAAACAAGAAATAGTATTCATGTTGCTGGTGGTTGGAGCTGCTTTATGGCTGCTTTTTTGCTGGATTTTGCGGTAATTGAAATGGAATTTAATTGACCATTTCGTAATACATATTGCAAGTGCTATTTTCTATATGAACAATATTTCTCGCTGTAGTTTCAGAGGGTTTCTGTTTGCATTTTTCACAAACGTAACCCTTTTTGGACAAGGAAAGTCACCCAAACTACCACATTTCGCATTGAGACTGGTTATCTTGCTTACAAAAAAAATAACAAAAATAAAAGCATGCTCAACTCAAAAAATTTCCAAAGGGGCCACGGCTACCATCCGCTTGGGCAAACAGCGATCCAGCGCAACCCAGCGAAACTCTGAGAAACCCGGCAGCAACACGCAACGTGGAAATGAGCAGCAGCTGCTGTTGGTTGGTGGACAATGACAACGCTTGACACACGATGTCATGTTGTCGCCGGGCACAAGTAAATACCAGTGAGCACGGGGACGGACCCTCTGGCCAGCGTGGCGTGGCATGGCCCTGGCAACCGGCAGCAGCGGTGCCCTCAAAGTGTGTCCTGGAAGGGTAATGGCCCGGAGAGCGAGTGACTGAGTGAAATGTGACATTCCCGGTAAATGGACTGCGGCGGATAAGCTGAGAAGTTTGTCTCGAAGCTCCAACTACGTGAGACGAAGTTATAAGGCACAGAGTAGTAATCATACTGATTTGCTGTCATAAGGATGGCTTAGAGCGCCAACACAAACAGTATTCCTCAATCTGGTTTGAGTAATTCGAAAGGCGGTTATCCCAAGCTAGCCAGCATTCAACCCTTTAGGCTTCGGCTCCGGGGCAACAGCTGCGAGGTAAACTATCCCAACGAGGCGAGTCAAGCACTCAGAAGTGCCAGCCACTTATAAAATCAACAATTACCCAACATCATGTTTGCTCAGAGCCCAAAAAAAAAGCCCGACTGAGCCCCCCATTCGACCCTGAGGCGATTGGATTGGATTGGTTGGACGAGAACAATTACAAGTACCCGGGGCCAACAGATACGTATATGTACATATATCCACATACTCGATGCTTTTCAACATAACCGAGTAAACATTTTATTTGAGTTTGTAATTATGTGTGCTTGATGATAACTCGCAGATAATGCCAGGTAAATATTTGCCCCGGCTCGTTGACGGTTGCTATTGCTGATGTTGCCCCTCCGATGCTATTCCTGCCCGGTTGCAAAAACATTTCCGACACGACTACTGCAGCCGACCCCTCCTCCCCTGAACGCCCACTGGCCCACTTGCCCCCTTTGGACAGTGGCATTTCCTGTAGTGCGGTGGATGGGGATCGCTGAACATTTTTATGGCTTCTCGAATGCGTTTAGCGTTCGCCTTGGCCAGACAATAACCAGATTGACTTTTAGCCCGGACCCGGGCCCCCAAAGTGCTGTTAAATGTCATGTCCGTACAACAAGCTCTGTCGAGAGTGCTCAACCCGGTGATATCCTGTATCGGCTTACCCCGCGGATCCCATAGCTTTTGCCATCATCATATTCCCCCTGCTTCGGCTTAGTTAGTGGGCGACTCACCTGATGTAGGCCACCTCGTTGTTGTTGGTTAAACGACGCCAGCCAGGGGCCAAATTTCCATTGTAACTATTGGTCTTCCTGTTGCTGTTGCCGCTGGCATTGTTGGCTTTGGCAACATTCTTGGCATAGAGCTGATTGTTCTGACTCATTTGACGCGATGCCGATGCAATTGTTGTCGGCATGCAATGCGTTGCAGCAGCACCAGCAGCAGTTGCTGCCGATACTACTGTTGATGCTGCTGCTGCCGTTGACTTCATTGGCAATTTTATCTGCGCCTGGCGCTGTTTGGTTTGCTGCTGTTGTTGGTGTTGCAGGAGGAGTTGCTGGTTACTGGTGGGGCACACAAAAATATGTTGCTGCTGGTTGTTGCGTTGCTGCTGCTGCTGCTGCAGTTGTTGCTGCTGTAGATGCATCATGTTGCTGCCATTGCCATTCACCAATCCAACTGGCATTATCTGCTGCGTTTGCTGCTGATGTTGCTGTTGTTGTATAGATGCACTTGTAACGACCCGCGATACAAATTTCGTCTGTTGCTGCTGGAAAAACTGATGATGTTGCTGATGCTGCTGCTGCTGCTGCTGTTGGTGATGCATCTCACTGCTGGCAACTGTCTCAGCATTCCCAGCTATATTCAGCTTGTGCTGATGCTGCTGCTGTTGCTGGCCAGCCGAGGCGGCAGCCATGGCGATATCAGCAGCCGTTTACAAGCTCCTCCGCAATTTAGGAGCTGCAAGAGTTGCAAGAATATGCAAAAATTATTCACGGACCTACAAACATATTTTAAAACTAATTCTCCCAACATTTCAGGTATTTAATTAATAGTCTAATTTGATTTTACTAAATTTAAGTAAAATTTGTAAGTTTAAAGTTCCCCTGAAAATGCTGCTACGGATTTTAAACTTAACCTTGGTATAAGGCAGGGCTTGACCTATCTGGAAATGCCAAGATTGATATGAATTTGGTTAATTAATATATTTTTCATTATTCGTTTCTGTATAAAAAGCTTTATTCTCTTAATTGGGCTTCAGTGCTGGATCATCGAGGGCTTCGCTTTTGTTTCTGCCAGAAACTTTCTGGGTTGACTCAGGCCTCGAATTTAATGGAATGGAATTGCGTTGTGGCTATTGTTATTTAGTGAGTGTGTTGTAAGTTGGCCACTTACAAAAATGAAGGCCCAATCAATGTTTATGCGTGGCGCAGGCAACGAACATAGTCTAAAAGTCTAGGATGGAATTGAGTGAGACTTCAAGTTTGAAAATAGATACTGCTAACTGGGCGATCGCATAAACGACAAGTCGTCCATCGTAGGCCGCACCTTTCGTTATTTATGCGTTGTTGGCCTCCGTTTCCCCCCGGTTTCCCCCTATTCCGCTATCTGCGCTCACCTTTTAGCGTGCTTTTCGCTTTGCTCATTTGCCAGCATATTAAATTAATTTTGAGTTATTGTGTAAACGAGACGCGGCCATGTCATGTTCATGTTTTTACGATTTGTTTTTGTTTCTTTTTTAAACACTTAATTTCACTTTTTTTCCTTTTGTATTATTATTATTATTATTTTGTTGTATTCTCAGCTTTTCTGGCTGTAACAATGCGACAACGATTGTGGTTGTTGTTGTTGCTGGGTGCTCATGACTTCATTTGGAATTCAGAAAACGAACGTCAGCACACACACAAGGCACTCAGGGCACGGACACAGACGGAGCCAGTGGAGAGCAAAGAGCGCCAACGCGTAAAAGTAGGTGAATGGAGCATGAAGACACCGAAAGAGCGAAAGAGAGGGGGGAACCCAATGGCGAGAAGGGGGACCGCTTCAGTTCACCCACACCAAGGCACGCACTTACTCCCTCTCCGACCCGACTCGTGTATCCACCAAGCAAACACCAGAAACAAAAAAGAAAACGCTTTACTTTAGCACAATTATTTGCAGACCGTTTTTAAGCAGCCGTATTAATACAGGGCGCCTTTATAATTAATGCGTGTGTTTGCCTGTGCGGACACCACCTGCCCTCCGGTTCTGCTCGGGCGATCCGCACACAAACACAACAACGACGGGCGGCGAGAGCGGGAGCGGGAGCAGCAGCTGTTTGCCTTGGGCAGTGGGATGAAAACGGAATATTGGTGGCTATCTTTGCTCGCTGGTACGGGTATTGGGCAATCGCACACACATACACACACTCGCACAGATGGGGCGAGAAAACGCGTGCCTATGCTGCGGTTTACTGCTGCTATAATATGTACAAAGTGACCTCAATACGCATTACGCTACAACACACAAACACACACAACGCACTTCACTAGCTGGCAGCTGCACTTCGTTTTGGGCTTTATTATGCACAGACTCGGATTACACCAAATGCCAATTAAATATGAATTAATTACAACAATTTTGTGTCGCTCGCTTGATTCACGCAATATTATGGCTCTCTCGCTTGCTCTCTGGCTGCCACTCTCGTTCTCTCTCTTTTTTCGCTCTCTCTCTGTACCACTGGCAAACGCGCACACGAAAATTTTTTGCTGCCCGAAATTCGAATTGCATTCGCTTTTCTGCGGCCAATTACCGTTTTCACCGCACCCAATAATGCGTATATTTGACCACGGCGAGTGCGCGCATTTGTATCGGAATTTTTATTGGCTTTTCACTGCTTTCGACTGCCGCTCCGTGCACTTTTCCGAACGGGCGACAACAAAGAACCGTTCGGATTTTGCGTTGAAAACGTAATGAATGAAGGTAAAGCAAAACAAACATATGATACGAAAAGCCCAAAGAGAAACTCGAAAATGCTATCGATACTATCGATAGTTAAAAGGCGTTAAAGAGAGAGGAACTTTAACGTAAAAGGTTGAGAACTCCGCTAAACAAAAATAAATAATAGTACCGGAAAATGATTTTAACAAATAACTGCCAAAGAAAATATTGTAAAATTACAAATAAATAAATTAGGACTTATTGTATTTTTAGTTCCACAGATACTAAACAAGCAGCAAAATTCTGACAAGATAAAACTCACCATAAACTGGCATAAACTGTCATACACGAGGTAAGTATCGATACTATATTTTTGAAAAGAATAAAAAGTTATTCCTCTCGAAACCAACGTAGTCTCTTGGAATGTAAAAGTTTTGCAACAATAAAAATAAAATATCTTGATTTTATCCCTATTTACAAGTAAACCAAGTTTTTTAATTTTCTAAATTTTGCAGCCATTTGCGGTTCCAAAACAACAATACTGTTATTAGGCGTTGAATTATGTTTCTCCTATATGAAGCACATTGAGGATACAATTTCTTTCGAATCCATTATTGCAACGACTTTTTATAGGTTTTTCAAATGATCGCCTTCAAAACCTGGATTACAATTTTTTACTGGCAACCATTTTTAAATGGATAACTCACAAGGAAAATTAAAGCGTAAATTACTTTTTAAATTTCTATAATTCTATAACTATTATATTTTTTACCCACATATATAAAAAATTATTTAAATATTGGCAAGCCCAGAAATAGCTAGATATAGCTCTAACGCAAACAGTCTGGCAACGCCACGCACACTTTAGCTACTTATCGAGTGGCGTGATTATTCGATAGCTTATGATAGAGAAAATGTACGTCATGTGATTGTGGATTCTTTTTTTCGCACGGAGCAGTCACCTGTCGGCCAAGAAAAATACAATTACGCCTGCAATTTGGTGAGTGTCAGCTGGAAAACGTGAAAATCCGGATGTGCTAACGCTGCTCCATCCGCAGATAGTCAAGAAAAAGCAGCAAGATGGCGGCCCAAATACGCACCGTGGTGTCCCAAACGTTCCTGTGGCTCTTCCTCGCCGTGGCCACCATCCTGACCCTGTACTTTGTGATGACGGGCAAGGGCGAGCGGGTGAGCGTGGGCTGGTTCCTGGCCTCCTCGAACCCCTACATGTGGGCCTGCTTGGGCATCGGACTCTCCGTCTCTCTGTCCGTCGTGGGCGCCGCCCTTGGCATCCACACCACGGGCACGAGCATCGTGGGCGGTGGCGTAAAGGCTCCTCGCATCAAGACCAAGAATTTGATCTCCGTCATTTTCTGCGAGGCCGTGGCCATCTACGGCCTGATCACGGCCATCGTCTTATCCGGCCAGCTGGAGCAATTCTCCATGGAGACGGCGCTGACGCAGGCTGCCATCCAGAACACCAACTGGTTCTCCGGTTACCTTATTTTTGGTGCCGGCTTGGCCGTGGGCCTGGTCAACCTCTTCTGCGGTATCGCTGTCGGAATTGTGGGCTCGGGAGCTGCCCTCTCGGACGCTGCCAATGCCGCTCTTTTCGTCAAGATCCTGATTGTGGAGATCTTCGGATCGGCCATCGGTCTGTTCGGCCTGATTGTAGGCATCTACATGACATCCAAGGCGAAGATGGGCGATAAGGAGTAAAAGTGGCCTGCAGTTGCCTGCAATTCAGTGTGAGTCATCCCGTTTACAGTTTAGGTCAAGATAATAGCACTGTAGGCCGGTGAAGCCTGATTCTATGTCTATTTGGTTAAAGCTCAACTCTAAACTTTTGTTAGTTATTTTATTATCATTCTTATTAATCAGTTTAATGTTTATTCGCAACGATTTATTGGTAATCTATTAAGAAGATACGTTTTTATTTTTTAATTTAAATACTTTTTCTACATTTAAAACAAGTTCAATATACTTAGGATTTGTCAGTCTTCTAATCTTGTTTTTTACTTGAATGCATATTAATTGTTAATACAAAGAAGTTTTGGGTGTATGAAGGATTAGAATTTTGTTAATTTTGCTAGGGAATCTAAGGCCCTAATTGATTATCTAATTTTTTGCGTAAACATTATAGTTTGATAAGAATAAATATAGTAGTATTAGCCAAGGTTAACAATCAGCCAATTGGCTTTATTTTTCTCAGTTGATCTTTATATTGGCTTCTGCTTATATATTGTAATCCCTTTTTAAATGATTCTTAAGATTTATAAATTTGATTATAAACAAAGAAATTTATAAAAATCTAGGCATATGTGCTATTATTTCGACCATATTATTTTAATACCCGCATTTAATTTGCAATCTATATTTCTCCACAGCCTACTCGCTTTCATCACCAGAATGAACAACAATCATCAATCGTCACCAAGGCATTCCCCCATTCCCCCCAAGTAGACACGCTAAACACCAGTGTTTGCATTTGGAAATTATTATTTTTGGAAATTACAACTCGTTATATGCAGTCACAGCTTGCAGGAGACTTGCGCCCCCCACGAAATCCGAAATCCGATCAGCCGAAACACTTTAAACTGGGACTTTAGTTACTTATTAAGTTGATAGTTGGCTAAGTTAGCTGTTGGTTTTCACGCCTCGCACACTTTTTTCCAATCTCCAGCATCACTCAAAGGATTGAGGGAGTGTGCCCGATGTGAAAACGACAGTAAATTTGTTTATTTAATTAATTTGCCAAAAGAAAGACAACGTGTGTGTGTGTGTCCGTTTATGATTTTAAGTATTTTGTTATGTTTGTTACTGTACACACTTGGCACTTGTATGGCTAAATGAGAATGTATTATATTAACTACAGTAAAACGATAAACTTGTATATTTCAGGCTACTGTTGCAGAAAGGCAGAAGTTGTAGAATGATGCACAGTCGCACTATTATTATTATAGCAAGTATTCCATATTAAAACAAATAATAAAATATATATACGTTTTGTTTGTCAATCTGAGTGAACTAATAACTGAGCCGTATCAGCAGCACGCGCTTAATACTAACGAGTGCGTTTCGAGCAATCATCACCTATACATACATTATCCATGATTTTTATCAAAAAGAAAGAGTCGTTGAAATCACATATGTACATATTTACGATTATGTAAGCTCAAGCAGTGTCAGTAAATAATGACGTCAAGTTGTACTAATTGCTGGTGAGCACTATAGAGTATTTATCGACCATATGGTTATACTATTACAATATAAACATATTAAAATGGTGTTTAAAGTAATGTATTAAGATGCCCGTAAGATCTATAGGCATACCCAGGACTACCTGAATTTCTTACTTCATTGTAACTTTCTTACATGTCAGGCTTTTAGCAAGTTTATAGCTTCTCGGGGATCTTTAATATTTTCTTTTAATTTGAAAACGAATCCTAACCGGTATTCCAATATTTGAACGACCGCCAAAAAAAAAGATGCGCTAACCAACACTTTTCCGCAAAGTTGCATTGCGGCGCCATTTTGAAAAAGTGACAGCTCCGTTAGCTTTCGCATCCTCTTTCTTTCCCGTTCGCAAAGTCGCACGCGTCGCACGGAAATTCTCCGCTTTGAGCTTGATTTAATTGGCCGAAAATGTCCGAGGGTGTTGTGGAATCTAATTCGGAGCAGGGTCACCTGCCGCCGCAGCAGCAGGCGCAGGAGGAAGAGATCTGGGAGGAGGAGGGCGCCATCACGATGCCGGCCCAGCCAGCCAACGAATGGCCGGAAATCAAGCTCTTTGGTCGCTGGGCCTGCGACGATATCTCCATCAGTGATATCTCGCTGCAGGACTACATTGCGGTGAAGGAAAAATTCGCACGCTTTCTGCCGCACTCCGCCGGACGCTATGCGGCCAAGCGTTTCCGCAAGGCCCAGTGCCCGATCGTGGAGCGCCTGACCAGCGGTCTGATGATGAAGGGGCGTAGCAACGGCAAGAAGCTACTCGCCTGTCGCATCGTCAAGCACGCCTTTGAGATCATTCATTTGCTGACCTCGGAGAATCCCCTGCAGGTCACCGTCAACGCGATCGTCAACTCTGGTCCGCGCGAGGACTCTACGCGCATTGGACGCGCTGGAACTGTGCGTCGCCAGGCCGTCGATGTGTCGCCCTTGAGGCGCGTGAACCAGGTAATTTATGTTTCTGCATACTTTTTACAAAGCATGTTCTGTCATGTTCAAAAAGTGTTGCAAGCTAAAAAAAATTACGTGGGATTGTTTATAAGACTTTAATGTTTAATGATAATAATAATACATTTTTAACGAAGGATCCATTAAAAGTGAGCAGATTTAATTGGTGTTTGCAGATGCTTATGAATCTAAAAACACAAATTAAAACTGTGTATTTACACATGTAAATAAAACCGATTATCTACTTTAATATTAATTATAATTTCTGGTTTTTCTTCTATTAACTTTAAAATACTCATATTTGTTGCCTTAAACTGAAATAATCTTCCAATTTCAGGCCATTTGGTTGATTTGTACTGGAGCCCGTGAGGCTGCCTTCCGTAACATCAAAACCGTTGCCGAGTGCCTGGCCGATGAGCTAATAAACGCCGCCAAGGGGTCTTCGAACTCGTATGCTATCAAAAAGAAGGATGAACTGGAGCGCGTGGCCAAATCGAATCGTTAAATGGCGATTTATGTATCCATTTATTCAATATCTTACATAAGGCCTTATGTAACCATTTAACCTTCTAACTGACAATACAAAACTGTATTTCATACATTGTGTTTTACTGAAGCTCCTGAATATGAGTGGAGAAATCAATTTAAACAATTTCGGTCATGTTGTACTAACCTTTTTTTACATTTTTATTTCAGGTTCTTTGTAATTAATCTGTTTTGTAATGAATTTAAATTGTAGCAACTTTGCTTTACTAATCAAAAGGCATTCATCAAACTGAATTTTTGAAAAGGTGAATCGTCTGCTTTAAAATGAAATTTTTAAACTTTTTTGCCCTCTTCGTTGTTTGCGGATTCGCAGCGATAACTGGATGTCTTATCCTGGCCAACGTGATGACTGGAACGGGTGAGCGAATGGGACTCGGCTGGGTGCTTTACACATCAAGTCCCTTTCTGTGGGCAGGCCTGGGCATCTTCCTCGCTTGCTCCTTGTCTGTGGTGGGCGCCGCCCTTGGAATTTATATGATTGGCACAAGCGTTGCTGGTGCCGGAGTCCGATCGCCCCGAATCAAGACAAAGAATCTCATTTCGGTTATTTTCTGTGAGGCAGTAGCCATATATGGTCTGATCACGGCTATCCTGCTCTCCGGAACTGTTCACGAGTTCCCAACGCTAAAAATGCTTACGGAGAAAAACGTGTTGGAGATCAATATGTTTTCAGGATTTGCTGTTTTTGGCGCCGGTCTGTGTGTTGGATTGGTGAACATAGCCTGTGGCATTTGTGTGGGCATCGTCGGCTCTGGAGCTGCTCTGGCAGATGCTGCAAATTCGGCACTGTTTGTCAAGATCCTCATTGTGGAGATCTTCGGTTCGGCCATCGGTCTGTTCGGATTGATCGTGGGAATCTACATGATCTCCAAGGCCGAGATGATTAAATAAGCAAATAAAGCCAAAATCTTACAACTGAAAAGCTAACATTTTTTTATTAGTAATTAAAACTAGTCCTCCCCATCATCATCGCTATCATCGGCTCCATCGTCATTGCCGTCCTGATCGCTGCCATCATCATCATCCTCGTCCCAGTGTTTGATTTTCTTGTTAGTCATGAAGTCCTCGCGCAGCACACTCCACTCGGACTTCTTTTTAATGGGAGCAGAGGAACCGTCTTCCTCCTCCTCGTCGTCGTCAGTTTCCTGCTCTTCCTTCTTCACTGAATTATCTATGGCTGTGGATTTGGATCGCTTGCCGCTCATCAGAACGTCCAGGAACTTGCGCTTATTGATATTGTTGAGCACTGCGTCCTGCCGGCTGTCCAGGGGACCAGCCTCCTCCAACTCGTGCTGTAGATTCTTCTGCTGAATGCGAACCGCATTGAAGAACTGAACGGTTCCTCGGGTGGCAACCTTTCGCAGAGTTCGTTCACGTGCCATATCCTGGTAGCTAGGCTTTACTCGCAACTGCAATGGCACATTTTTGCGCTGTTGCTTTGTCAGCTGAGCATCCAGAGCGGATGCCTCAGGTTTCACATCATCATCGTCGTCGTCGTTGTCTTCTTCCTGTCCTTTTTTCGCCGTTGTCTTGTCGATCTCGAAGTCGAACTGCTTCGTAGATCCTCTGGATTTCTGGACACCGACCGCCGCCTGACCTTTCTTGGCGCGGGTTAAAACAGTTTCGTCTTTGGCCTCTGGTTTGGTGGTTTTCAGTACGTTCAGGATGGAATCTGCCCAGCCGCCACCGGCCTCGACATCGCTGCCCGCATTTTGGCTTCCCTCGGAATCGGATTCATCTGCGGAACTATCGGTTGCCGGAGCTGGAGTCTTTCTCGCACGCTTCTGTGTTAAAAGGGCCATTGTATTTGGAAGATCAAGCGAATTCAACTTTAAAAACAATCAAGCGTGTTTATCACGTTTTTAGGGATGGGAAGGTTGAGCACTTGTTATTCGATCACAAGGCTGCCAACTATCGATGGCGAAATAGCTATAGCTCAATATTTTATTGAGCAATCAAATGAGGTAAAAAGTTTAAACAAAAAAGCATTGAACAATAATTGTATCATGTTTTTGAATTAATATTTGAATTTATATTTAAACAAGTATGTTTTAAAAACAAGCGTAGCAAGTTGGCAGCTTGTTTTCCCCAGGACCAGGAGAAATCGATATAATTTAATCGATTGTTACCCTTTGGGGCAAAAGAAGAAGCAGCGCCGGCTCTCCGGTTTTGTCAATTAAAAAGCGAAACAAATTTATATCTTAAAAGCTTACCATGATTAAGCTAAAACTGGAGGCGTTGGGTCATCCCACTCCCAGCGATGTGGCGCTGAGCAGTAAGTACAAATTTTAAATGTGAAAATACCAATCGATGAGCCCATACTCTCCACCCCCCCAGATCGCAAGGAGTTTGCCAGCACAATCCTCTGGATAGAGGACCAAAAGATCCGTCTGTACTCAATTGAGGATCGCGAGAAGCTGCGTCATATAGACAACCCCAAGTCATGGGAGGAGGGCTACCTAAAGTACTGCGCGGACCTCCAAATGCCGCCCCTGGAGAGCCAGCAAGAGCAGATGGCCTGGATTCTAAGCCACGCTGTTCGTCTGGAATTCCTGGACGACCCAGAGCAGTTTGCGTCCATCAATAGCAAAACGGGACCGCCTAAAAGTAATGGCAAACAGGCCCCAGTTAAGGTTCAGTCCATTTTCGACGGAAAGATGAATGGTAAAGATTTTCATTTCCCGTTATATTCCTGAATAATACCCATTTCTTCCAAAAACAGTTCAGGACAAAGCGTTTGTGGATGGCGTTCGCCAGCTAGCCAGCAAACTGAATGTGCCCCACCATCCGAACCATCTGCTGCAGCTGGAGGCGGTTGCGCGGGTGGTACACGAGCGCCTATCGCCCGCCGCCAAGGGGCGCCAGCCAATTGTGGGTACACCATTTCCTTTCGACAAGGGCAACGATATTATCTCGGCCAATGATCCTGCCTTGGATCTGCCGATGCGCATTTTGCGCCTACTCCAGATTCAGAGCCTGCGTCAGCTGCAGACGCACATTAACGAGACGATTGTGGCAGTGCAGAACCTCACAGCCAATCCAAAGACTGACACCAAGCTGGGCAAGGTGGGACGCTAGTCGAGGGAACTCGCGAAAGCTAAGCAACAATATTATGTAGGCCTATTTAAATATTTGCTTAAATTTAGATTTAAAACATTCGCCCTTATAAACGGGAAATCTAGGAAAGCCAAGAAACACTAAAGGCCTATACAAACATGTTATTATTGTAAATGAAAGGGATGTAGATCTAAATAAAGGTTTATATTGTCAAAGAATCTCATATTTTGCCGGACAGTAACTGAGAATTTTCTAGGTATTCATGATATAGACATAATGCTAGTCACTGAAACACTTATGCGTGAGGAAAGGCGCATTTTCCTTCCTGGATATCTCACATATTTTGCCATTCACCCCAGTGGCAACAGCAGAGGTGGCTCTGCAATCATCATTAAATCTAGTTTAAGTCATAGTCCTCTCCCTCATACCGCTAGCAATGATAGACAGATAGCGAGTGTGCTTCTGCACACTTCTGATGGAACAGTCACTGTAGCTGCTATATATCTTCCACCAGCAGAAAGTTGGACGCAATCTAGCTTTATATCCATGTTCGCCACCTTGGGTAATAAATTTATTGCTGGTGGCGATTTTAATGCCAAACATGCATGGTGGGGCAACTCAAGAGCCTGTACTAGAGGTAAACGCTTGCAAGAAGTCATCGCAAATGGGCATTACCAGGTTCTGGCTACGGGCGAACCTACGTTCTACTCCTACAATTCCCTATTAATTCCATCAGCGCTTGACTTTTTCGTTACCAATGGATTTGCTTCAGGCAGACTTCACGTACGTACTCTGCATGAACTCTCGTCGGATCATGTACCTATCTTGGCTGAACTGTACTCCTCGCCGTTGTGGAAACCTCATCGCCCACGACTACTTGCCCATAATGCTAACATCAACATTTTTAAATCCCATCTTGAACAGCTAAGCGATGTAAATTTAGAAATTCAGGAGGAGGTGGATATTGATAATGCAATCAGTCTTTTTATGTCGAAATTATCTGAGGCTGCTCAGCTTGCTGCCCCCAGAAATAGACATGGAGTAGTGGGCCCTAGACCTCCCCAACTCCCTCCCAGAATTTTAGCGCTGCTTAGACTTAAACGAAGAGTTCGTAGTGAATATGCTAGAACAGGAGATCCTCGTATACAACAGATCCACAGAAGACTTGCCAATCGCTTGCATAAAGTTCTTGCTCGTAGAAAACAGACTCAAATAGACAACTTTTTGGAAGACCTGGGTCCTGATATGAGTGCAAATTACTCGCTTTGGCGTGTCACGAAACGATTCAAAACGCAGTCCTCCCCAAAGTCAGCAATCAGAAATCAGGCTGGGGGCTGGTGTCGCACTAGCTTAGAAAAAGCTGAAGTGTTTGCTGATAACCTTGAGCAGCGTTTTAAGCCCTTTGATTATGCCCCTGATAATTTGTGTCTTCAAGTGGAAGAGTATTTGGAGTCGCCGTTTCAAATGTGCCTTCCTGCTAGCGCTGTCTCTTTGGAAGAAGTGAAAGTTCTGGTAGCCAAGTTGTCTCCCAAAAAACCCCCCGGTGAGGATCTTCTTGACAATAGAACCATTCGTTTATTACCTGATGAAGCCCTGCAATTCCTTGTGTCTGTTTTCAACGGCGTTTTAGAAGTTGGATACTTTCCGAAAGTTTGGAAATCGGCCAGCATAATCATGGTTCTCAAGCCTGGAAAACCGCCGTCGGATGTGGATTCATACAGGCCTATCAGCCTTCTCCCATCTCTGGGAAAAATTATGGAGAGGCTGGTTCTAAACAGGCTGCTCTCTTGCGAAGAAGTCTCTAGTGCGATCCCAAAATTTCAATTTGGTTTCCGCCTGCAGCACGGTACTCCTGAGCAACTGCATAGAGTGGTTAACTTTGCCTTAGAAGCCTTGGAGAAGAAGGAGTATGCTGTAGCTGCCTTCCTAGATATTCAACAGGCATTTGACAGAGTCTGGCACCCTGGGCTGCTGTTCAAAGCGAAGCGACTCTTCCCGCCTCAACTATACATGATTGTGAAAAGTTTTCTGCATGATCGCACATTCCATGTATCGGCTGATGGGTATAAGTCAAGAGTCAAGACAATTGAAGCTGGAGTTCCGCAAGGAAGTGTTCTAGGTCCTACTCTGTATTCGGTCTTTGCTTCGGACATGCCTAGTCACTTGACAGTAACTGAAGTCGCGGAAGATGATTTACTAATAGCTACGTACGCTGATGACACTGCTGTGCTAGTGAAAAATACAAGTATTTTGGCTGCTTCATTTGGTTTACAGGAGTATCTGGATGCCTACCAAGAATGGGCTATGAACTGGAATGTGCGCATCAATGCGGACAAATGTGCGAATGTGACTTTCACCAACCGTGCAGCTAGCTGTCCTGGGGTCAGTCTTAATGGTAGAGTCATTGACCACCATAGAGCCTATAAATACCTTGGCGTTACCTTGGACCGTAAACTTACGTTCGGCAGGCATGTTGCGAACATTCAGCATGCTTTTAAGGCTAAAGTTTCCCGGATGGCATGGCTCCTGGCACCCCGCAACAAACTATCGCTTTACTCCAAGGTCATGATATATAAGTCAATACTAGCCCCCTCCCTGTTTTATGGCCTTCAAGTTTATGGAATTGCTGCAAGATGTCATTTGAACAAGATACGGATTCTTCAAGCAAAAACATTAAGGAGGATCTCTGGGGCTCCTTGGTATATGAGGACTAGAGACATTGAACGAGACCTAAAGGTGCCCAAGCTTGGAGACAAACTTCACACTGTTTCAACTAAGTACATGGAAAAACTTAACAATCACCCTAATAGTCTGGCTAGAAGATTAGCCACCGCTGAACACAGAACACGAGTCAGGAGAAGACTTAAACGTCACCACCCTCAAGACCTCCCCGACAGGATCTTGACATAAAATATCAGACAAAACATGAAAATCATTTCAAATTATGTAAACATAACTTAACTTAATACTCCTCCATAACAAAGCATTGTAAACATAGAATTAACTTCCAATTAGGTTTAGTTGCCAAATATCTAGGTAACAGTGCACTAGTCAAATAAAATTTCATTATTTTTTTTTCAAAAAAAAAAAAAAAAAAAAAAAAGGACGGATATAATATAAATTTTTTTTAATTTAACAAGTATTTCCCAAATTTAAAAATAGAACATTTCGCCCCCTAACGTCTTGCAAAGAAGTCGTGATCCTTGGCTGCTTTAACTGTCTTAATTGGCTCCTCCTTAGGTTCTGCCACGGTTGGTTTCAGGAAACTCGCGTCTGCCAGCAGCGCCAGGCCCAAAATTCCAGCGGCTGAGATGAAAAAAGATTAAGGTCGGGCTTTTTACCTATTAAAGTTCCAACTTTACCTGCCGCCAAGCCTTTCATGGTGTAATTCTCCAGCGGCTGTGGTCGCTTCTTCGATTGCGCCAGCAGAAACGTTCCGATGCCGAGAAAACCACTTCCACTCACCAAACGACATGACAGACAGTCTTCGGTTCTTGAAGCTTGAGCACCATCTCTCCGCCAGAAAGCTAACCTTCCGATCATTACGTATTTTTCAGGCAACAACGAGATATTTACAAATTCTGGAATGGATCATAAAAGCCAACTCCAAAATATTCCATTTGATATTTCGTGCGTGACACGATGTCTATCGATAACCATGTGTAATCTAGCTAATATTATTAACAAGTTGGCAGCACTTTCTTTGATTTAAAACAGATGGTTGTCCCAAGCCGGCTAAAAAACGTTGTTTATTTTATTTGTTTGTCTCAAAATGGAATTTCAGCGAAACGATGCCATGCTCATGGAGATTCTGCAGGATCGGAAGACCATAACGGGATTTCTGGACTCTGTTTTTGGTTTCCTTCGACGCAAGTAAATGTTTTCCTCGGAAATCTGTACCTCCAAATTTAATGATCGCGTTCATGTTCCAGCACCGATTTTTATCACACGAAAAAGGATGAAGCGGACAAGATCGGCTTCCCCAAGGGTGTGAGGGATCAAATTCTCTATGGCGCCATGCAGCGGTATGATCCGGATTGCTGGCTGCAAACCATGACCGCTGAGGATGGAAGCTGCGGCGATGATGGTGAACTCGCTCCGCCTGCAGTCGAAGAAGTAATCCTGGAGAGTGATGCCACATCTCAAGAGAGCGTTTTAACTCCGCCTGAGAATAAACCACAACAAAATCTCAAAGAAGTAGCTACATTCTCACCCAGCGACTACAAGAACGGAGCCCTTTTTGAAACCCACTGTTGGTCACAAACTCTGAAGGATGTGGAGCTTCAAGTAAAGCTGCCCGAGGGTCTACAAACGGCGAAGAAACTCTGCATAATTATCAAATCGCAGCACATCAAGGTTAACAGCAAACTAAATCCAGAAATTGTAATCCTAGAAGGAAATCTTAGCCAGCGGATTAAACATAATGAGGCAGTGTGGACCATTGACCAGAACCGACTTCTCATAAGTTGTGGTAGCTATCTGAAATAATTTCAATAAGCCTCTATTAATCCATACGAATTTTTTATAGATAAATCCAAGGAGCTGTGGTGGGAGCGCCTTTTTGAAGGTGATCCGGAAATAGATCACAAAAAAATTGACTGCGAGAGATACATAGACGATTTGCCAGAGGAGACGCAAGCCACAATAGAAAAACTGAGAGTTCAGCAATTGTCAGCGGATAAGCAACAAAATGAGTTTCAGACCTCAAATCCCGAGCAAGCTAAAACCCTAGATCGCCTCAGAACCGCGTGGGACGCCGAGGGATCTCCTTTTAAAGGACAGCCCTTTGATCCTTCCATTGTTCGAATGAGTTAGTTTTTAATAAATATTATTAAATAATATCTTTGTTCTTTTTAGTAAAAATTTATTCGATAAATATAGCAGATTCTTTGCATTAATTGAGTAGTTCTGATATATTTCGACAACTTATAATTGATTTTTAGTACAAACCAGTGTCAAACTTACTTCTATTGCTTAGTAAAAAGATATGCAAATTACTGGGCCTTCAGCTCCAGCTTTTTGCGCTGTAGTTGCAATTTCTGGTAGGCAACATCCTTGTGATCCGTCGACCAGGCCACGTACATATAAGTGATCAAGAGAAGGGCCAACAGGAGGCGGTCAACGCTCATCACATTGGTGGCAAGGAGAATCACGGATAAACCCACAAACGAAGGATGCCTCACGTGAGCGTACAAATTGCGCAATTCACTGGATTTGAAGTTTATAGGCTCGCCATACGCCTTTAGGTCGAAGTAGGCCTGCTTGATGCCCAGCAGCTCCGGTAGATCCATTACCAAAGTGCCTCCAAAGATGACAACCCAGCATAAACCGTGAGTGATTGCAAAAGTCCACCAAAGAGGAGCGCTTTCCTCCACATCAATTTGCCACAGGACGATCGACTGGGCGGGCAGCCAATTGGCAATCAGGTACTGGAGTGGGAAAATATATAATTAGGTCTTTTTCGAAACTACATTTGCATAATTCTGAGGTATACAAACATGTAAACAAATCGATGACGTCAGACTATAAATAGTTCGCTCTGCTCCACCCAAACCACATTTGGCCAATAGCTTCTTGACAAACGCTGACTTAAGGAAGCTGTGTTGAAAGATGAATCCTATCAGGTAGAGGGTGTCAAACACCACGGGACCATAGGCGGTTTCAAGGCGGGATTTGTTGTCCAGTAAATTGAAAATCCATGTGTGCGCCTTTGAAATGGAGCGAGGTGTCGAGAGGAAGAGCATAAGCCGACCCACCACGTAGAGGGAGTACCCGAATGTGGCCATGGAGGCGAGGAGCACCAAAAACTTGGCAATCGAAGCCATATTTTTGAAGGAAAATGCGGGATAACTAATAATAATGGAGAATAACAAAATCCAAGCGAATGTTTGGGAGAAAAACAATAAGTGTGACCATGGATTAATACTAGCAAAATCTCATGGTTATTTTAAATTAAATAATATGGATGTTTAAATTTAGTCGAGTTCATTGTTTCATTCTTTATCCTGTAATGTAAATATATATATGAAATTTATAATTATAATATTATAATGGTCAATATTATAATATTCAGCCCACATATAGAGCTGAGCATATTTAGTTTAAATTTAGTTTCTTCATCTGGTCACACTACCAAACTACCACTAAATATTTTGCGCAAAATAAACAAGCCTCCGGAGAAAAAACTAAACTAAACCGGCTTTTCGAACAAAATTTGGTTATCTCAACAAGCACACATCTGACAGCTTAACTTTTTATCTGAATCGCCTAGTTTTAATAGAGTTTTAATCCATTAGAAGCCATTTTTGTAAGTACTCGACAGGTCTTGTTTTCAACGGGGTGGATTGCATATTACAGACTGCACTAGCTCTACCAAATACCTTGGATTTGTAATAATATTATTATTTAAAACTCATATTCTTAAGTTTTTAGATGTCTTCGGAATCTGGTGATGAGCCCCCACCGAAATATCCGCGCAAAACTAGGCCCAAAATCAGTGGCAATTTCTCCGAGGAGGACACAGTAAAAATAATAAATTATGTTAGGAAAATGCCAGTGATCTGGAATACGCACCACAAGGACTATGCTGATAAGAAAACAAGGAACTCAGCGTGGGCTCTGATATATAAACAATTTGGAGGTCGACACCATGAATCGGATCTGCGGACCAAATGGAGTAATTTAAGAATCCAGTACAGGATAACTGTGGGAAAACTTAAAGGAAAATCCGGAAAAGTGAAGGAGAACGCTTCAGTCTGGAGGCATTTTGCAGCTCTTAAGTTTCTAGAAAATGATAGCAAGCCTGAAATTCCCGAAGTACGAAATAATTTAGAATCTGAAGACGAGCCTGAAATCGTCGAGGTTCCATCAACTCCCAGAAAATCTCACAAAAAAGATCCAAAGGCTCTTGAAATTACTCCGTGCAAACGTTTTAAGGATTCCAAGGATACCAAGGGTGATCTTGATCCCAATTTGCAACTGTGTAATTACATGTATTCAGAATTGGCTGAGCTAAACAAAGAAAATGCTGCTATTCTTCGAAGGAAACTGCTAAAACTCTTTATTTCATTTGATCCTGCAGGAGATTTCGCCGATGTGTAAATGAATTTGAAATTCTTTTATAGCTCGATAAATAAATTCCTTGTCGAACTAGGATATTATCAAAAATGAAATTGCAAAAAAATGAAAATTTGATTATAAAAAATTAAAAATATTTATTTGCAATAAAACAATTAAATAAATTCTATTTTCTAATCCTGTAGTCCTCGCCTTATGGTCATATTTAGGGTATACTTGCAAGACAGTGGATATTTGCCTGCCTCTGCCATCTGGTCACACTGTTTGTAAATGTTTCAAGTTTCCCACTAAACGCAAGCGAAAAAGTGTAAGTCCGTAGCCTGTCGGCTTAAGCAAAGTTTAAACCATAAGTTGAAAGTAAGAAAAAGTAAAAACTGGCACAAAAGACGCCGGTAAAGCGCTGAGAAATTTGCCGACGCGACAACGTAGCCACACACTCTCACTGGCTCACACTCACATATATACACAGGCACACATAGCTTGCAAATGGCGGATGCGTTTCCAACAAAAAAAAAAAGAGAAAAAGAAAGACTGCATTTAAGTGTGATATGTTATGAAAATTGTTGACGTTGCAAGTGATACATAAAATAGCACGAAAAACAGTTCGAAAAAATGGAGAAGGGCCGAGCGGTGTGGGCGAGTGTGCAACTGCAGTAGATTTGTTGATTTTTTTAAGCGGCAGCGACGCCCTTTTGTCTTGTCTTATCGAAATCGAAGAGGAAATCCATGATTTATCAGTGTGCAATTATTCCAATTAGCGGCGAAGAAGAGGAAGAAGCCTCGACCAACACCGACATACTTTCACTGCTCCACTCTTAATTATGAGTAAAAGGGACAGCTGACACAAAGGCCTGGCAGATTTATTTGATTTGCCAAAAATTTCGGACGCCGCCGTCTGGCCTGCTACCGTGCCCCCTTACCCCTCCCTCCCACCGTCACTATATTGCGATTTTATCAAAGAAGAAATAAGCATAATAGATGTGCTTGGCCTCTATTCGCTGTGCTCTTCTGACAATTTACACATTGTTGGCAGTCTGCGCTGACCTCACCACACACACATAGGCTCACATATGCGGGCTTATCAAAGGAGAGAGAAAGAGGTCGAGAAAAAGAGAGGCGGGGGAGAGAGTGAAAGAGAGCGGCTTGCAGTGCGATAAATCATAAAGTCAAATTCTTGGGAAAACCAATTAATAGGCAACAAATGTCGTCTACGTCAGCAATCAATATCCATTAAGAATCAATAGTTTTCAATTCTGGTTTATGAGTCACACTCTTTTGATTTTTTAGAGCAACCTTCCATTTCTGGACCACAAATTGGGAACGAACTTGACGCTCCCACGCGAAATTAACAAGACCAGAAAGAAAAATAAAACGGGCACAAATCCCATGGCACGCTCTCTTTCGCCCAGAAAAAAATAAGGCAGCATAGCATGTTGCATAAATATTACACAGAAATAGGGAGTAGAGCTTTCTAAAATTAAAACACTTGAGCCGCCGCTTGTTCGCTGAAAATAGCGGAGGCAAAGAAAATGCATTTATGAATAAATAAAAGAAAAATAATGAATGAGTGCTAGTACGCTCTCGCTGCAAGCAAGAAAGAGAGCGGCAGAAGCACTTGCACCGTTAACAGTGCTGTCGCTTTAAAATGGGCCATAAAAAAAACTCAAGCTTGAAACAAAACCTTGCCTACAGGTTAAATTTTGATAGTTACAGATATAATATAATTAATTGAATATATCTTATAGATATATTAAGTCGCAGTCAGTGATGATCTGGTTTAGTTAAAAGTGGAAACATACAATAAATTATCAAGTGTCAAAGATTAAACAGTGAAATTGTTTGTGTAGAAATAGTTTAGGATCGAAGCCAAAGGTAACGTTAAGCCAGCATCAATACCTTTTGATTGAAACATTATTTAAGAAATGTTACTGCGGGGAGGCAATATAAAGATAGTATTAAAGAAAGCCAATTTCTCATATCTGACCGGTTCCACCGACTGAGAGAAATTCCATGCGGCACCGTGCAAGTGTGTGTGAGTGTTCCGCTGTCGGCTAATTGAACACTGGGGCGACTGAGACCGAAACAACGGCGCTGAGGGAGAGAGGGCAAGGCAGAAAAAAACGGGAAAATTAGGCCAACTGTGCAGTTGGATGCCAGTTTGTTGTAACGAGGCCGAACAGCCAGCCAGCGTATTTTGCATGCCGCCCAACCATAATACATAATTATTTATAGATGGCCATAATGATAATTGGCAAGATTTCGACTTTCACACACTTACTCAAACAAGCACACTCACGCTGCCGCGAGTCGCTCATACATGGGCAGCGTTGCTCTTCCGGTTGATGACCTTTACCGGCGTTTTTATTGTGTTTGTTCTCTTTCCCCCCGTGCGGTTGCTTGGCCCGGCTCTCTTTAGTTTACTTTTTTGTTTCTCCTTATTTTCTCAGCGGCTTTACGCCCGGAATCCGCTGCCCGGACTTACTCGAACTTACTTTCCGTTAAACAAATCTATCCACTCGCCGCAATCGATTAGTTTGATGAAAAGGAAACCCGTTTCCACAATGGGTATTAAATATTAATTGAACTTTATAGAGTGCAAATACGACAATATTTGATATCTAAAGAAAAGAAACGATAACTGTGCGTCGTAAGCAAATAAGCAAACAACAGAATTCGTTGGTAAACATGTCAGTCTGGAGTTGTAAATACATAAATTCCTCAAGAAGTAGCAGTGAACTTATCAGGTTTACACTGGCCAACAAAGGAGAGATTATCTGAAGTAAAGTAAAAAGTACTTCTTTTCTTGTTTTCCTGTATTGAGAATCCTGACTTTATATTTTGCGAAGTAGGTAAATCACCATCACCATAAACGTACGCAAAACTAAAATTAAACGAATCTTTAGGGTTTCGATCTCTGAGCAATTATTTATCTTCAGAATATCACACACGGTCTATTTTCAGAGTCCATAATAGACAACATTGAATATGGTTAAAAAAAGAGCGAAGAACGGCGAAATCTGTTAGCCAGAAACATGAAAGCAGAAGAAAGAGCAAGAAGAAACTAAAGAAAACATACCCGACAAGCCAGTTATCGCCAGAAGTCCCAGAGAGCAACAACCTTGAATTGAAATTTTTGCAATTTCTGAATTCTTCCATTGGGCTCTCCGCGGAGCCAGTGAAATTTCAAGTTCTAACTGTCTGTCGTGGGAGAGAAGAGAGCAAAGGCGTCAAAAGAGCGCAAACACTCGGAGAAATTCAATAATTTAAGCTAAAATATTTGATTACTTGTACGTTTTGAAAATAACACAAACAGAAACACATTAATTGGACCTCAAAATAAAATTTTCAACTTGATAAAAAAGTTCTTAATTTAAAGTTTATATTATATAAGCAAATAAGCAGCCATATGAAACCGAATTAATTTTTAAGTATTTTTTAAAGATCTTATTTGGGATTTTATCTAAATATTTACAAAACGTTTCTGAAAATGTTAAAAAAGTCTCCCATAAAGCGCCTCTGACTCATATATTTACACGACTTTTTAGCAAATATTTGTTAACTTTAAAAATATTTGTTAAACAAAAATGAATAATGAATCTGATGACGAAAATGTTTTCCGTGCAGAGAGTGGGAGAGCTGAGCCCGGAGAGCAACCTCAAATAACGAGCCAAGCTCGGCTGCGAATCTTTCCTCCTCCCATTCTTTTGTGTCATTCGCAACGTGTCCAGCGCAAGAGACTACTCGCGGAGTTAGTTGTCCCGGAGAAGATTAGCGGCAGTCCAGAATTAATTCCGGTGAGCAATTCGTTGAATTTGCATACGTGTGCGTCAGAATCTTGGTTTTGTTATTTTTGCTTTCAATCTGCGTCAACACCTTTGGGTGCAAAATATCCCCTAACTAACTTTCGTTCAAGGCTGCTACTCAGCAGCTGTGCACCATGGGCTAATTTTATTCTTTGAGACTTTGTATGAATAAATTTAAGCCTGAAATCGATTTCTTATCGCTCTTCCTCCCAGCAATTAAATTCATCCAAGTGACCTTTTAGTCTTTATTTGAAATTCATCGGTGTGTTAAGAAAGCGGATGCTCGTCCGGTGAATAATCGGGGTTCCAGGAATATTGGGATCCGCGTTAAACCTGCAGTACATATTGTATCTAAACGTACAAATTTATACACAATTGTCAACCGCAAACAGTTTTATTAATAACACGTCAAAAAGAACAAAATTTAGTCATACCGAAAAAGAGTATGTGTGTGCCGGCCGGTGAAGTACTGATAAGCACGTACAACTCAAACAATTATACATATGTACATACTTTACAAAGAAATGTCGTTAATCTCAAATATAATGCAGATATTTTTTTTAACAATTTAGATGATTATTTTTTCACTTATATGCTTCCACGTCATCAGTTGTAGTAATTTAAATAGAGCTGATAAAGCCAAAGGAAATGAAAGATTATAAAAAAGCCAAGACTAAGTGACCCTAAAAATAGGAAGATTATATTCTTTGTGTGCATGAATCGGCTCTATGCCAAGTAAAAGCTAATGGAAACGTAATAGTAACTTGGGGTTTCCCTTTTTTTTCTGCTTTAAATCTAATCTAAGTGCAAAGATCGTAAATTACAATTTTCCTAGTTTTTAAAAATGGGAGTTTCCATTTAATAATGTTTATAGTTAGTGTTCAATTTATATTAATACTGTTTATAAAACAATTATTTATGGTTCAAATTTGATTAGAAGATTAGAAGCACGTTGCGGCATCGGGAATTATGACACGTAACCCTAAATGACATTTTATATACCAAATTACTAAACATTCAAAATTTATTTCACAGTTTCGCAGTTCCATTTCGCAACAAGGAGATCCCTGAAGAAGAACCCACGACTGAATCGGCAAGATATGCAAATATGGACTTCCACATACTGATCGTCATCGGTTGTGTGTTCAGCGCTTCGCTGCTCTCGTTCCTGTTCATCAACAAGATCTTCCGGCGCAAGACCTTCGAGGAGGTGGTGGCCGAGAAGCGCGCTTTGAGCGCCAATCTCTACAAGGCGGCCAGCGGAGGAGCGGCGTCCAAAAAGCCAAAGAAGAAGGAACTGAAGCGGGAAAAGAAGCAACGGCAACGGGAACAGCAGCGGGATGTGAATAACGAACAACCGGAGGCGGATGAACCCGAGGATTATTCTGATGGTCAGTCGGAGGAGGGGCAGGGATCGGTGGCTGATGATGAGCAGCCCGGTCTGTCCAAGCAACACGTGGAGTTCGAGCCCGATCCAGAGATCCTCAATGAGCAGCAGCGTCGCCCTAGCAGCGTGGCCGAAAAGGAGAATCAACCAACAACAACTGCGGCTGGCAAAAAGGGCAAAAAGGATAAGCGCAACGGTGGCAACCAGAACAAGGCCACTGGCGGCATCCTGGTCAATAAGAACGAATCACATGCGGTTAAGGCTGTACTAAGCAATGCCGACGAGACAACGCCCACTCTCAACAATTTCGAAGCAAAGGCACCCAAGGATGTGGTGGAACTGAAGAAGCAGGAGCAAAAGGAGCGCAAGGAGGACAACAACAACAAGCAGCAGGCTCAAAAGAAGAACGGAGAAAAGGTGGCTAAAAAGGAAAAACCAGCATTAGCTTCCGAACCAGAGCCTACCATTGTGACCAAGCAGGTCCTCAAGCAGCAGAATGGTTCCCCCAAGACCCAGCACAACCAGGCCAACAACAAGACCAAGCAACAGCAACAGCACAGCAACAACAAGCAGAAGCAGAAGGAAACGGCACTGACCGCCAAGGACTTGGCTGTTGCCCTGGACAAGCTGGCCGAGCACCAGAACCAGACCATTGGCGTTAACGCTCTAATGAATGTCTTCTCCCGGGCCGAGCTCAATCGCTCGGAGATTCAGATTCTCATCGATTATCTTCTGAACAAGCAGCAGGATATGCCCGCTTCCCATGCCGAATGGTCGGATGACATTTGCCAGAAGCTCAAGCGTCAGCTGGAGGAGAAGGAGAAGCTTCTGGCCGAGGAGCAGGAGGCCTCCATTGGCATCCAGGCAAAGTTGCGCGAGTTGCGGCAGGAGGTCAATACTGAGCGCGCCCAGATGCATGCCCGCATTCAGGCCTACAATGAAAAGCTCCAGAGCAAGGACCAGGAGTTGTCCAGTCTGAATGATAAGCTCACCCTTGAACGACAACAGCTCCAGGTAAGAGTAATATATTTACCATTTCCTAGACTTAACTTAAACCCAATTGCTATTGCCTTTTCTGATGCTTTAGAACCTTTTGAGGGAGAGCCAGGCCAACTCGCAGGATTTGCTGCAGGTGCAGCGCCTGCAACAGGACTTGGCTCACAAGGAGAAGTGCCTGGCCGACATGACCGCCTTCGTTAGCGCCGAGACGCAGCAGAAGAACGAGGTAATTCAGCAGCAGGCACAGCAGTTGGCGGCTCTAGAGCAGCAGCGCGACGAGCTGGAAGCGCGTCAGAATAACAGCATTTTTGAGCTGGAGCAGCGCAAGCAGCTGGACGCAGAGAATGCTGACCTGAAACAGGAGTTGCGTACCGTCACACAGGCTCAGTCGGAGCTTCAGCGCGTTCATGCCGCCGAACTGCAAGAGCTGCGTCAGCAAATTTCCGCCTTGGAGGCCAATAACCAAACTCTGAACCAGCAGCTTACCCAAGCTGCCAGCACCGCTGTACAGGCGTCGGCCGCCCAGTCGGAGAAGGTCCAAGTTCAGTCGGAAGCCTTGGCCCAAAATCAGCAGGAGTTAAGTGCTCTGCGCCTACAGGTTGGCACTTTAACGGATGCCCAGGCCCAGCAGCAGAAACAGGCCAATGCGCTGAGCTCACTGCTTCAGGAGGCACAGCAGCGGGCGGAACAGCTGCAGGCCAAGGAAAAGCAACTGCAAAAGGAGCTCCAAGAGCAGCGGGAGAAGAATAATGTGAGTCTTTAATTTTGTTCTATTTATTTATAAGAATTGAAAAAAAAACGAGTTTTTAATATGTAACTAAAATGTCATCCCTTTAACTTTGCGTTGTTATATCGTCCACTACTCTGCGCCCTGACTGTTTGCATCAGCCTTCATACTCTTTGCTTTCCTTTACTAATTGCCACGTATTTGTGTTTCGTCCAGGACGTGCGTATGAAAAATTGGAAGTTGATCGAAGCGTTGCAAAATGCCGAAGCATCAACAGCTAAGGCAATGGCCAAGACGAAACCAAATACAGCGCAATCCTTGGGCGTAAGTGCATGTGATCTCTGCCAGCTGCTCCTTTCTTATCCAGTTTTTCCTGCTATTTTGTATCATGAAACCCCTTTTTAAAAATGGCATCAAGTTTGAAAATTTTTAAAAATGTTTTACACTTATTCCCAATTGCAGCAACAACACAAAGAGTTGCAACAGCAGCAGCAGCAGCAACAACAACAAAAGGCAGTGGCCGCCAATGGCGGAGGAGGAAGCGCCAACTCGGCAAAGAGCGAGCAGGAGCGTATCCGAGGACTCTACCAGCGCCTATATCCCGATGCGGTGAAAGCGCAAGCAGGCAACGCCCTGCAGGCATCCTTTGACCAGTGGCTGGAACAGGTTCTAACCACCCACGTCAAGCAGCAACAGGAGAAGCTGCGGCAGAAGCTCGAGCTGGAGAAGCCAGGGAAGCAGCCCAGCAGCAGTAGTCATAAGTCAACACAATCAAACAGCAGCAGCAGTAGCAGTAGCAACCACAATAGCAGCATCCACAACAATATTAGTAGCAATAATAGTAGTTCGAATAGCCAATCCTCCTCCGCCGCCGTTGCCGAGCAGCAGGAACTGCACAAACAGAACCTGCAGCTGCGCGAATGTAACGACAAGCTCACCCAGCTGGTCACAAAGACGGTAAGCTGATTTTGGGGACTATAAACCAATGCTTACAAAATGTAACCATTTTCAACTGTTGCCTTTATACTCATATTTCAGACCAACACGCTGATGGACCTGGAAGAGCGGGCCCGCGAACAGGACGAACATTGGCGTGGCATCGTTGACCAGAAGGAGCAGATCATCGTTAAGCTGCAGCAACATGCTTCAAATGGAGAGCAGGTGAGACTATAATAGTGAATTTCCCATTTAAATAATTTAACATCGTCGGAAATCAAGCTTAAAATACCAATTAAGGTCCAATTAATCTCAACAAATCCATTTAATTCTTGCAGGACATTTAATGTCGCGGACAGAATAACAAGAACAGGAAGAAGGAGCCCAAAACAACGACGATAAACTGACAAGCATCTTTTGCAGAGTTTGTCCAAACTTCCATAACAACAGCAACAACAATTCTAACAATCTATTAAGTTTAAAGTTGAACGCAAGGAGGAAGATGGAGTAAAATTAGGAGCATGCCCCCAGCAACAGCAACATTTAACATTTTTAATATTAGCGAAGGCCAACAACCGATTAGGATGAAGGAGGAACTAAGGAATGCTTAAAAAATTATATATGTATACACAACTAAGGCGAAATAATGAATGGAATGAGAGTCGAAACTTGTGCAATGTTGAAAAGAGTAAAGAGGAATAGGAAAAAAACGGAAAAGAAGCGAGGAAATGCCAGGACTCTGAACGCAGAACCAGGCAGTTTCCGCCTAAGCCCAAGCCCTCCCAACAAAAACCTACCAGAAAAACAGTAAACAAGAAATCCATTGCTGCTGCTACTTTCTTATTATTATGATTATATGTCCCACACTTTGCATGCGATTATTATTTGTGTTACACTTGCATTTAGAGAAGCGCGCGCTATTATCAATTGTATATGTATCTATCCTATGTTAAGCAAATGAATTTAAACCCCACAGCTACTTAAAAATCCATAAAAAAAACAATGAATATAAACTATTTAGTATGTATGTATGTGTATATGTACTTGTATTTGACGAATTTTTGTATGTTTTCCATATCTGTTTTCCCGTTTGTACTATGTTTTTCCCCCTGTCGAGGAGCAGCGCAAAGTATTGAAACCCCAGAAAGTGCACGAACTAACAGCAGCAGCAACATTTAATTAAGCAAACACATATATAAACAAGAAAATAAAAACCTATTTTTATATAAAAACTAAATGAGGAGAAGCTAATGTTTAAGTAAACGCAAATTAAACTCACTTATGCTAATGCTAATTAGCCATTAGTTGTCGAGAACCTGTTGCATGCGACACATAGAGTAAGCCGAGCAATAAGCATCGGCGGTCACAACCAATACAACAAATGAATGAGCTATAGCGCATTATAAAGAATTATGATGTATAATTTACGATAAATGAGAATTAAATACATACACACACATATGACAAAAGACAATTATTTTCGATTTTTAATCTATCGTAATAAATATTTGAGCTTACAGGTCAATATTCTGGGTTTGATCTTTGCTGAGAGACCGAGAGACTAGTTTGAATAAAAATGGAAAGACGACAAAAATTATGATACCCAGCAAAAGGTTATTAAAGAGAACAAAAGGAGACGGACTCTACCTGGGTTGTCTAGCATCTGAGCCTCACTAAGTTTCCTGGAATTCCATACTGAGCCAATAAATATTTTTAATGTAATATCTTCCCTCATGCTTTAATTTCTTTTTGTCTTTCTTAAATAAAACAAACACAGCTTACGTGCTAATTATTGTTGCTGGGGGCTCCCCTGCTAGGGGGTATTTGAAGGTTGTGCAGCGGAATGATCATTTGGAAGGGATACTGCAGCAGTTCAGTGCATGATGGTCGATTCTTGGGATTCAGCTGCAGGCAGTTCTTGGTCATCTGAAGAATGGAAAATTATATCGATAAAGAAAATAATAAATGATATGGATAGGCAGCAACTCACATGAACCAGCATGACAGGATAGTAAGGAGGAATGGCAGGATATTCAATGCTGGTCGCTGGACTGGCAATTGCGTTCATCTTGGCATAAATGTTCCGAATGTGACCGAACGGAGTCTTCTGATAGAGCAGCAAATACAAGATGCAGCCCAGCGACCATACATCGGACTTGGTGGAGATCTTGATCTTCGGCTGGTTGCCGCCGCCCCGTAACGGACTGTTGCCCGTAGACGTGTCCGTCAGGGCCTCGGGACTAATATAGTTGAAGGTTCCAGCCTGTGAAAACTTAATTATGCTTGTCGAATCTACTGAGATGTTGCTGGCGATACCAAAATCAATCAACTTTAGACGTCCATTGACCATCAAAAAGTTGGCTGGCTTTAGATCCGAGTGAATAACGCCATGCTGGTGAATGTAGTTTACGGCCTGCAGCATCTGATAGAGGATGTTTGTCAGGCTATACAATGGCAGGTTTGTGGTGTAGTTCTGCAGGATCTTGTTCAGATCAGAATCGCCCTTCTCCATCACCATATACAACTTGGACTCTTCGCGCAGAAGTTGACTACGGAAAAGGGTATTTTAACAAGGATAATAAGCACATAATGATGACTTACTAATCGTAAAGGGCCACAACGCACACATTTCCTTGCAGCTTCGCAAGGAGCTTTGTTTCGTTGAGATACCCCTGCACCACCAAAGGATCGGCCTGCAGATCCACTACCTTCAGCGCAAACTCGTCTCCGGAATCTGAGCGACGGGCTAAATAGACAGAACTGGAGCCACCACAACCCAATTTTTTCACGATCGTATACTCGTTATTCTTTATATTCAGTATATTCGAAGTTTTTGAAGAGGCGGTGCCGCCAGGATTAGGTACCACCGGATCCGTTGTAGCCAAGGGTACGGATGCCACCACCTCCTTGGCCTCGGAAATTACCACTTTCGGTGGCACTTTCTCCACCTTTTCCAACGCACTGAAAGCGCTCTCCAAGGACTTTTTGGATTTTCCATTCATAGACTCTTGCTTTGGCGGTGGCTCCGGAACGTTGGGACTCTCGCTGATGGTGTCGCAGAGCGAGAAACTTATGCTGTCGTTGGGGAATGGAGCCGCCCGACTCACGGTCATGGGCGTTTGGAAGAGCACCTTCTGGGAGCGAAACTCATTGGCCGCCGCTGGACCTCTGTTCTTTGCCGACTGAATTGATCCGTATGCCCGCACTTGAGGCGTGACGAAATCAGCTTCTGGCTTTGCGTGCGATTTTACCTCAACCGTGGACGAGGATGAGGCAGAGATTCCCTTGCGCAGCGGCGTCTTTGTGTCCATGAGGCGACGTCTCTCTGCTAAGGCCGTATCCACAAGTTGCCGTCTCTCCGCAATGCCTTGGGTCGTAGAGAGAGGCTTTTTGGCTGGCACCTGCTCCGCCGCCTCTACATCCGGCGATCCCTGGCTGCTGCAATTGATGCCCATGTTGTTAAATCGACCCAGAAACGAGAGATTCGATTCAGATGCTTTGAGAGGAGCGGCAGAAGCGGCTGCGGGGGACGTACGACGGGTGGGAATGCTGTGGCTGCTGCCCGTCAATTCGTGATTGGGACTCAGTACAAAGGAATCGTTTAGGATGGCGCAGTTTAGGTTGTGATTGTTTTTGTTGTCCTCCTCCTCCTCGCTGTCCGAATTCATCATTGTCAGCTCGGAGGCACGACGGGGCCTATTGCGGATATAAAAATGTTAAAAGACTACTTATAAAAAAAAAAGGGAGTGTTTCGAGGGGGACATCCTTTTGGGGATAAAGAACTACTAGTGATCAGAACAATTAAAAGTAGATGGACACTCACAGCATTTCCATATGCAGCAAGTGTGGATCCGCTTCGTTCTCTTTGCCCCTCGCTGGCTTTTGCAATGTCGACGCCACCGCCGGAGGTTTTTTGATCTCTGCGGCGCCTCGAGAACTTTGCGGGCGGAATGGCGTATTATAATTGTCCTCTGTGTCCGAATCCGAGGCTAGCGCCATCATATCCTTCGTTCGTCGAGGCACAGGAGTAGTCATCTTTCTCAACCCGCAAATTGTTCAAAATCCTATTTGTTGTTTTTTTTTCCTCATTCAAACTAGAGCTGGAAAAGCATCGATGTCTAGTCAGATCGATATCGATTGTGGATGCGATTAAAAATATAAAAAATAAAATGAAGTCTATAAAAAAATAAAAATAATCTAAGAGTATAAATCTAATGTCCTAATGTAAATTTAATGTTCAAATAATAACTTTCATATGGCAAGTCAGCGCAGTAACTGTATGGAAAGTGTTTTCGCCTATCGATAGTCCAGCGAGTTGGCAGCCCCAAACAAACTAGGGTTGTAAAAATATATCTTTATCTTTAATATTTAAAAATAACGGCATTTCCGTTTAAAATATGGTTTTTTATTTTATAACATTTTAAATAAATGGGTACATTTATATTCAGAAATTCTGTAAGTTGATAACTAAACTTGAGTATTAATATGCACATTTTAATTTATAGTGATGATATATAATTTGAATATAAGAATTTAAGAAAAACTAATGTAAACACATTATAGCTTAAACAAAACTAAAACTATAAAAATAAATATTTCAAATAATATCGATATGTGTTCGCGAACAAATATTTATTCTTTTGAAAAAATATCGATACATATATAATCGAAATCCCTAGCCGAAAACAAACAAACAAAGCCAAGCAAAAAGGGGCAATAATTCGAAAATTACGCATCGCAGATGGACCACCACGCAACAGGCGGAGGCGCCGTCCAACCGGGCATGTCTCCCGCTCATAACCACGACGCAGACCAGCTGCTGGATCCCGTGCTCTTTTCAAACGACAATGGCAATTTCAAGCTGAACACAGTGCCCGCATTTAGGTGAGATTGGGGAACATCAAAACTGGACTCCCCGGCGGCAATGAATCATTCACGCCATTGCAAAGGCTTCGCCCGCAATGATGCACCCAATTAACCCCAACCCCCTTCACTGTTCTTCTGCAGCCTTCATTTGCTTATCTCCACGGCGATTTCGTTGGTGGGCATCGTACTGGCGGCCTCGTTTCCGTCGGATCGGCGCTGTGATGCCTACTTCATCATGTTATACCTACGGGCCACCTTCTGGGTAATCACATATGTACGTAACCATTGGAATCATCCCAGACCTGCCCCAAAAATGCCTTGATATTTCCCCAGCTCTTCGATCACTTTGTGAAGAAGCAACACGACAATCTGCGCTTAAACGGCTACCACGATTTTCATCGAGATACAAATATGCAGAAGGGGATTCCCCTGCAGGTGGTGTCGCTGTGGAACTCTATGCTGCTGGCCGTACAGGCCCTTATCCATCACTTCTACGGCGAGAATTTTTGGGAGCATTGCGCTGCAGAATGGCTGTCGCCGGTTAGCTATGTCACCGCCTTTACGGTGGCCGAGAATGTGGTGCTGGCGGTGTCTCACAGCTGCTATATTGGTAAGTTTGGCTTGGTTAAGGCGTGAATCATGAGCAAAGGCTTACTTAAGAAGGGATTTTCCTTATAATGATCGAAATTCGAAAGAAAACTTTAAAAAAACTGGAAAGATTATTCCAGATTAGGATTTTCTATAATCTAGTGAGTCAGTAGAAGTCTTTGTTAAACCCTTTTCTATTATATTAAGCAGTATGATTCAGAATCTTTAAAATGACATCATCCCGTATAGAAAATTTCCACCTATAAATTTAAAATATCATTTAAAATATTTTATTCCAGATAAAGTGCGTAAATTCAACAAAGCGAAGCTGGCCCCTGATGTTCTGCGTGGTGCAGACCGTGCCGGTGGTTCCCTGGGCCTCATGCAACCCGGCGGCGATACTGCCGAGCTGCTAGAGAAGCAGGCCGATCTTATCGCTTATTTGCGTGATCACACGCACAAACTAAACCAGAAGTTGCACCAAATGCAGACGAATGTGCGACCTGTGAGGGCTCCACAAATTCCTTAAAGACAGCCGATCAGTGACTATATATATTATTTTTTGTATTACCATATTATTTTTTCCGACGTTTCTCTTTTTATTAAAAAAAAAACAAAAACATTTTGTTCATGACGAAGAAATATTCTTCAAGTAAATCAACTGCAATAAATACAATTGGGCGTTAAACAAAAAATATCAATTTGTAAATACAGAGAACGTAACTCATAATCCTTGATCAGATATTAGGTCCCTCATACTATTGTATACTACAAACTGAATATGTGTGTATGTGTAATATTGTTAAATTAAATCAGATTTATACAATGTAATGCTAAGCTTTTTACTGGTCATTAACCATAGCTGCGGGCACTTCCAGTATTCCCAGAGAGTTATCTTTAGAAGATGTGACGATCTGTAATTAAAAAAAAAAGGACCATTAACTTGTGATTGATTTATAAGCTATAAAAAATGAACTCACTTTATCGCCAGCCACTGCCAGGGCTAAAACCAAACGCCCAGCGCCTTCAAAACGGCCTACTTGCTTGCCAGTCACCTTGTCCAGGACATAGATGAACCCATCATAGCAGCCAGCCAGCAGATAGCGCTCTTTATACGAAACAATAGACACAGCACCGTTGCCACAGCTCAACTTGGTGACCAAGTTGCCAGTCTGAAAAGAGACAATCTAATCACTTAAAGCTCAATTAACTCGGTAAACTTTGTTTTATTACTCACAACAAACTCGAATTGATATATCTGATTTTTCTGCGTGCCACAGTAAATGTGTCCATCGCTCAGCAGCAGGCTGTAAACATTCAGACCCCCTGGCACACAGAGCCGGCGAAGCAGCAATCCGTTGGTGGCATCATTCATGTAGATAGAGCTTCCCTTGCATCCGAGAATAAGGATCTTTCTCACACCCTCCTTGGTGGCCTTGATGGCAATGATGGACTGGCCAGTGGACACCAGCGACATTTCAGCCTGCTTGTTGGTCTGAAATTTGTAAAAAATTTGCAAGGATTATAATTATTGTGAGTTTATTGAAAGAAAAATATTTGGAATCTTAATTTAATAATAAATATGGAAACATATAATATATATAATATTACTCGAATAATTTAAAACAAGCAAAAATCATCACCAAATTTATGAAACAAAAATTGTAAAAAATTTAAACATCCTTTGGAGATGCGGGGTATCGATCCCCGTACCTCTCACATGCTAAGCGAGCGCTCTACCATCTGAGCTACATCCCCGTTGTGGATTCCCTTCTTTTATTGCCCTTTACAAGGTACCATCGCAACGTTAACGTCTTTGATTTTGAACCTTCCGCAGTTACGTGCTCATTAAAATTCCCAAAGTGCATCGTCATGACATTCACGCGTACGATCCAATAAACAAACCGAAATGGTCAAAAGAAAGCATTGTCCAATGGCTATATGTAGTTTTGTGTTATAAATAAACACTGCGTTGGTAGGAACCTATTTACGTATTAAGTGAATATATGTATATATATTCAAGAGAATGTTTTTACGATTTCATGATTAGATAAGACCTCTTATCTACAAATTGTCTTAGGTGGTGAAATTAAATTCTAATTTGCAATGCTTAAGGTGATTAAATGTTGATAATATTTTTGTTTGTATAGTTTGTATACCCTTGCTGAGGGTATTATAACTTTATTCAGGAATATGTATGTATATTTTTAATCAGCATTAATAGTCAAGTCGGACTGTCAGTCTGTCCGTTTCTAAGTTTTAGACCTTAGATTATAATAAAACTTTGCAGATGGTCCTCAATTTCTTTCAGGAAGTCGGAACAGGAACTTTTATACATTTGTTTAATCATTTCTAAATTACGAAATTTTTTCACAAGGTCCTAAAAGGACAGGAAAAATCAAAGAAATATATTGAAATATATTCGTCCAATCATATCCCATCAATATAATATTGATTTTTGTTTAAATCCTAATAATAGTAATAGTAGTAGTCTTATAGCTGCAAGGGAATATAAGCTTCGACTTGCCGAAGTTACATAGTTTCTTTTTATTTCTAATCTTCAAGATTTGTAAAACAAATATTTCATACATTAGTCTACGATTAATTTAATTATTTATTTATATTACTTATTTAAGGTATAACTTAGTATTCAATATCAAAACTTTAATGACTTTAAAGCTGAACTTTTGAGACTGCTTCTTTATGGGGGACTTAAATTGTTATTATTAAGTAAAATTGTTTTCCTAAAATTACCAAAAATTTATAATATAACAGAGAGGTTTAGACAATAATGTTGCAATCTTTTATGATTAGAAAGTAATCATTTCGAAAATAGAGAACTTAGAGATTTGTTTGATTTGCTGATTTGTTTTTAAATTAGTTAAAAAGTTCAAATTTGTTAACATTTTCTTGATTCTTCGACAATTATTCAGATGATGAAAACTTCAGACCTTTAAAGCACTTGAAACAAAATTGTAATTATACTAAAGCAAACTGTGAACCAAGAACAATTTACACATTTAAATGAAAGGCGGAAAATAATTGCAATCGGAACCGTAACCAAAAAACATTCGATAGCCCTGGGACAAAGATAGATAACTCCCTCCAACCCACTATTAATAAAGCGAGATGGAGCGATGTAGTGCATTTTTATGTACCGTTATGTCTTCAGCCATTCGGCAAGATGGCGTCCCGGCGCAATGTGCCTCAAAAGAAAAGCAAAAATACAAATAAATTGCTTTTGGGTGGCAATAAAATGCACTGTTCAGTGTGGGAGTGGCAGAAGCAATGTGTTTATTTAGTGGTTGCACTTGCCACACCCACCCAACTGTATGTGCAGTTGAACAACAATAGAAAAGCTCACATAAACACCAAAAAGAGTTACAGTCACTTAGGGCCACATAACGGTACAAACAACCAACCCGATGTGGCCAAGGCAGCCAATGAGAAGGCGGTACGAGCAGCGCACACCGACACACAGTCGCAACAACAAGCCATAGACAAGGCGTCAGTTTCCAGAAACACAACACAACAAAACAGGAGCCAACCAGCAAGAAAAGCCCACGCCACAACAACAACAAAAACAGGACCTACGAGAGAGAAAGGCCGAGAGCGAGGGATAGAGAGAGAGAAAGGAGCAACAGGCACGAAGACAATTCCAATTGCAGCTCCTTGGAAAGCTCTCTCCTACTTGCAGTCAGAGCGAGGAATAGAGAGATGCAGAGCCTGAGTGGACGAGCGAGCGAGCGAGCTTCTGAGAGCGCATCCTCGTAAAAAGCCTGAGAGCTAGAAAGCGGGCTTCGTTTGTATTTTATTTAAAATTGTTTTGGGTAAATAGCATATAAACATTTTATTTGCTGCTGCCAAAAACCTAACGAATGGCAGTAACTATATGCAACTAATGCTAAACTGCAGCGCAAGGACATGCGCAGACAGAAACCGAGAGAAAGAGAGAGAGATTGCAGTGTGAGTGCCGGCGAAATATACCGTTAACTAAACAGGCACACATAAAAACTTAAATAAACAACAATAGAGAGTTCAGTGGGATGGGAGAAGAGAGTACGAGCGAGCAGGACAACCCATCCTTTTCCCCAATGAGTGTGCGAGCAAGCTAGCAAGCGGCAACTGAGACTGCAAGTCCTGCAGTTTGCTGTTGTTTGTTGCAACTAACCCCCAGCCCCGGCACGTATATAGTACGCCGCATGGGTTATATACTTCTCCTCGTCGGCCAAACAACGTGGAGCAAACACGGCACACAATAAAGCACAAAACACCAGGCGAGGCTAAATATCAAGCAATAGCAGCAAGGCAGGCAAAAAACTGCAGTACCAGCAACGCCCCCTCTATGTGCTCCACATAATGTCTACGTTCTAGGTTCTGGGGCGTGGCATCTTCGCATATTTACCAAATACCAAATAACCAAAGCTCCAGACTGCACCTCCGACTGTACTTGGTTGCCTACCAAGTCCTGGGTACAGTTGCCTCCACCTACACAACAGTTGGGAGTACAGTTGCCCCCTTGCCACTACTCTGTACTTGCCACCATCTGCCATACAATTGCAGGTACAGTTGCCCCATTCCTACTAAAAGCTACACTGCCTTGGACGCCATAAATAATACGACTACATCTATATCTTTTTCATATAGACTATGCATAAAAATTAATTATTTAAATGATATTATAAAAAATGTATATTAATTCTTCTTCCTTTACTTAACCTTATATTTTATATTTTTCTTTAAAATGTATCCCCACCTCACTTCCGCATCCGGTCAAGTACAGTTGTGCACAAACGAAATAAACACAGGATACATTTGGCGGCATGAGTTATCAGCACGTCGCAGCCATAAATCGAATTTCTGCCAGAATTAAGACTTATAGCTCTCTTCCACTTCTACCCTCGATGTGAAATATTCTAATGAAGTATCAGCTCAGGACTGAAACTCCCCTTCTTCGCATTTGCTTTCCATACTATCCAATTTGTTAAATTCCGCGAGAGAAAAAAAAATATGTAAAGGAAAAATAAATTCGATTTGATTTCCATTGTCTAGACGTTCGTTTTTGGCTCTACTCATTGCCAATTCGTTAACGCCTGGTGTTGTTGTTGGCGCCGGGGCAAGGTGTGGACTCGTCCTCGAATGTGTGGCTGTCCTTTTTTGGCAGGACCCGCGAGACGCAGCACAATATTTTAATTGAAATTGTTCAAGTGTTTGTTTGACAGATAAATATTTAATGAGTCAAATTAAGTGGCGTAAAGGTATTGAAGGAAGATTGATTGACCCCCCACACGGTGGCAAGTTTCCCTGAGTTATTGGTCCAGATGTGAAATGTTATTAAAAGCGTACGGAAGTGAAAACTTTGTAATCCTTACTACTCCTAATTTCTAGCTACATGAAGGGTACTCACCGTCACATTGAAGGTAAAAATGTTCCCCCAGCGACTGCCAATGAAGGCCACTCCCCAAGCAATGTCAATCGATTGAAGGGGTTCCTTGAAGTAAACAGTTTGCATGACCCGCTCTAGGTTCTGTAAAACAAGATTTTAATACATTAATTATTAGAGAAATCAGGCAACTCACCTCCAAAGAAGTCTTCTTGAAAAAACCATCCAACGACGTGGTATAGAGAAGCGAGTCCTTTTCGCACAGAAACATATTTGTGATGGCCTCACTGTGTTTGGTTATCTTTCGCTCCAGTTTGTGGCTGATCAGGTGGAACATGTATATATCTCCATCCTCGGAGGCAGCAATAACATATTTCCTGAAGATTCGTAGCTGGGTAATGGGACTCACGACATCGTGCAGCATACCCTGAGGTATGAGCCCCACATTGCATTGGGAGTTCAGTTCTGGAAAGTCAGTCGATGGATGCAGTTCGTCGGAAAAGTGGCAGATTGGTTCAGGAGGCGGTGGTGGTGGTGGTAGCGGTGGTATAACAGCCAATGGGTGTTTGCTCACACTGGCTTTTTGTTTGCTCAAAGGTGATGACTTGGGCTTGGCGGTGGGTGGGGAGTCAGTCTCATCCTGGATCTCTTCCTCAACATCCGATAGGTTCTCTAGCCTTGATTTCTCTTCTTTAGCTTGCTCTTGGTCGCACTCCTCCTTATCAGCAATCTCTTGCTGAGATTGATCACTTACCTCATCCGATTTGACACTTTTCTTGGTGGCCCGCTTCGGAATCAGTTTCACGCGTCTGGGCAACAGCTTTACATATCTGAATCTTGTTCTGCTTCTTGTTTGCCTGACATTCTCCTCTTGTGTTGGTTCCTGAGTAGGGGATACAGGAGGAGGTGAGCTTCTGGAAGACGCCACTGGCGGAGGAGGTGCGGCTGTAACTGTCTGATTGCTAGAAATCAATAGCATTATTTTGCGACTCTGCAACTCTAGACTTTGCTTGTCCAGGTGGGAAATCTCCTGCTGAAACTTGACAATCATTTCCTCAAGAATGCTGCGCCGATTCTGGTTTTCCATTAAGTGACGGTCAATTTCAGCTATATTCTGGGTTAAAAGCTCTCCCACCTGAGCGAGAGGTTCAACTTTATCTGTTCCATTTCTTAGCTGAGAAAAACCAGCAGGATAAAAGCGGTAGAGATTGGAATCCATTGACATAAATGGCAAACCGATGGGATATGGTTGTGGATTTTGGGCTGCCGGTAAAGCTGGAGGACTTTGAAGGGGCGATAAACTTACAACGGAAGTCAATCCGTTGGGGCTCTGGGGGGCCGGTAATTTCTGAAGTCTCTGATCCATAGATGATATAGGAGAGGTAGAGGCCTTTGGTGTTTCTTTCACTATTTGTTCCACTTTTTTGGGACTAAGACCATTGACAGCCGTCTGTTCCTCCTGCTCTCGACGACGCTGCTTTTGTAGACTTACCACGCTGACGATCTCTTTTAGGAGAAATTCTATACTCTGCCTGTTGTCAGGGGCTTTGAGATTCCTCTGTATTTTGGCCACATCGATTTTACTGAATCTCTTAGGGTTATGCTCTGAGCTAGTCACAACGCAGGAGATGAAGTGCAGGCGGCTCTGCAGATTAGCAGAGTGCTGGAAGTGATAGCGATCCGACAGCGTCTCGCGAAGATGCGGAAGAATCAGCTTTTCAAAACTGTCAACCACGTTTTCTGCATCGCTCTGAAGCTTTAATCTGAAGCGCCTCTTCTCAGATTCGGTGCTACAATGGGAGTTCGAGGAGTGATCACTGGCAGCGTCATCGATAGTCGCAGGTTCAGGCTCCATAGCCTGGTTTTCCTCCGGCGCATCTATCTCCATATCCACTGTGCTATTCTCTTCACCAACATCTTCCTCAGAGGAGCTCAGGAGCTCTATGACATCCTTCGGAAGGGAACTTATCCGAATTGGAGAGGTGTTAGATTCGCTTTTGATTACTTTATTTAGGGGTATATTGATATCTGATTTGTTCTTTGTGCTCTTTGATGTTTGTTTTACCGAAGGAGTTTTTCTAGTACTTTGTTTTTTGGATTCTGACAATTTAGGAGTTCTCTCCCGAGTTTGAGAAGGGCTATGTTTCATTTCGGCTTCAGAATCGGGAGGTGCATCGATCTCTGGTACGGATATCATGGCATTGGTTTCGCTCTCACAACTAGCAGCCCTCGGGTCCTCAGATTTTCTCTTTGGCTGATCTTGAGGCAAGTCAAACTTGTTTGGAATCCTCCCATCAGGTGGGGTGGGCAATAGGGGACCACGGCTCTTGGCCAGACGTTTTTCTGCCATCATCTTGACCTCGTCAGCTGCCTTAAGCCTAGACATTAGATCCTTGGAACGCTTCATCTTAAATTCTAATTTGTTCTGTTTTCGTCTGTCTCTTCTTTCCTTTCGCTTAGCCTGGATTTCAAGCTTTTGGTTTACTTTATCTTCGTTTTTTCCACTGTTATCCTGAATAATATCACTGGGTGCATAAATCGTGTTGTCGTTTTCAGTAAACTCCTCAGTTACTTTATTTTGATTGCTGTTAGACTGATTTTCAATTTTTAAAGCCGGCTCGTTGCTTTGATGGTCGCTCTTCTTACTGGACTGCTCACTATCTTTGATAGACTTGGAATCCTTTCTATTAGTTGCACTTTCTTGGTTGCATTCCTCACTGGCTTGAAAATGCTTTTTACTGATTTCCACTTCACTAAATTCCGTTCCAGGGGCGTTGAATTCATGGAATGAGCTCAGATTCTCTTCAGTGTCTTGAAGTTTTTGATCTTCTATGAACTCCTTGCCAAAACATTTTTCTATCTCCTGCAGCAAAAGTTCGGGCAACTTGATGGCATCTACGATTTCGTCCTCGACCAGCTCCGTCACAGGATTATCCTTTGGCTGATCCAATTCAATAGCTTTTAGCTGTCGGCGAATCTCTTCGCGCAACCGTTTCCGGGCTTGGACTTTCAAGTGCTCATCGTAGATCGTGTCGCTGTTGTTGATTATATACTTGAGACTCTCCTTGTCCATGCCGGCGATGCGATTATTGATGATGGCTTCGCTTTCTGAAAATTGGCTTGTGCTGGGACCAGCGCCATTTTGGTTGCTGCTACTAACGGTTCGACGACGGTTTTTGAGAACGGGTTTGAATGTTTGGCGACTCGGACTCGAGATGCGAGCGGGTGGAGTTGAGCTGCCAACAGGGCGCTGGTTGAGACGATTCTCCTGGGTAACCGCTAGTATCTCCTGCTTGAGCAGTTGGGTGAGGGGACGTACTTGAATGCGGGGAGGATTGAGTGATGGTTGACTAGCCTCTTCGGTTGGGGTATCCTTACTGGGTTTGTCTTGAGTGGGTGATTTCAGCTTTTTACTGGGGCTTTTATCCTTTCGGTGATCAGCTTCGGAAGCTTCTACTACTTCTACTACTTTTTCCGCCAGTTCAGCAGAATCGTTGATATTTCTGTTAATGTGCCCGGTGGATCCGCTTGGATGCGAACTGCTTTCATTACCTATTGAGTCATTATGAACGGTCGACTTGGCACTATTTTCCTCACTCCACCTGCGCTGATATCTGTGGTGTTGGTCCCTGTAGTGATGATCTCGATATCTACCGGAAGTGCGATAGCTGTCCTCAGAATTTCGCGGCTTCCTGGGACTCCTCTCTAACTCTCGCTCTCCACTCCTCTCTCTACGTTCGTGGTAATTTTTCGTATGATAATCAATTCTCTGTGTATAATCTCTCTCTTGGCGCCCCCTACTTCCGTAGTTTGTATTATTGTGTCGTCGGTAGGGCGTGTCCCTGTGATTATAGTTATTCCACTACAACATGGTAAGCAATTAAAAAAAAATACAAAATAAACCGAGGATCCCATTTACTTACCGCTCTATTCTTGAAGTGACCGCTGTAAAAAATAAGAAAAAAACTCACATTAGTTAACTCTTTTCAAATTAACTACAATTAGATACATTAACAAGGCATAGCTACGGACACGCAGGGCCATTGCAAAAGGTGAAAACTTTTGCAAACAATAAAGGAATAATTAATGTAATCAAGCAACGTGCCCAAAGTTCTCTTGAAACTTTCTTGCACGTTAGAAAATGAACGTAGAAATGAAAGAAAGCTTTTGCATTAATTGAACAGATTTAAAATTTATAACCACGGAACCTCTGGCCTCCATCCCACAAAAAACATCCCTCTGGCTATTTGTGTATGCAAAGGTGCGAATTCCGTTGGCTCTTTGTTTTTTTTTCTTCTTCCTCTCGAAAAATCTCGTTAAGAAATGCTAAAATATACGACCACAAATCTTTGCGTTTGCCTTCTTTTGTTAATGTCATTTGTAACATGAACTAATTAAAAATGTAAAAGCGAGAAAGTTTAAGTCTTTTAAAAAAGAGGGAATCTGAATGTCAATTTTATTTGGAGGCTGTCGCAATTAAAACAAATAAAGGTAAGGTTCAGGATTGTGATATCTTTCTTATTAGGATTTCTGAAACTATATTTCTAAGGTAGACTTTAAGGGAATTAAACCCAATATAGAGCTTATTATATGGTTAGAAATATATTGGTTATATGAGTTTAGCTGGTAAATTCTATGTAATAACACATCTTTCCTGTACCTAATTGTTAATCCAAACAATCCTTTATAATATCATGTTATACAAATTGTTTGCCTTAAATAAGACCGCATTGCCACAAACACAAGATGGAATTCCATCGAGAAACCCCCTTTATATCTAACTTGATATGTTTTGGGCTTTAATTAAAACCAAACAAAGCAACACGCTTCTTGTCAACGCCAAAACAAAGAGTAAAAGTTGAAAATTACCTCAAGCTGTTGCACAAGGAGGCGAACCCTTCAAGTCACACCACTAATTGTTACAGCTCCTGCCCCCAAATTTTGAGTCCCCCTCCCCCTTGTTTATCGGGAGGAAACATTGTGAAAACATGTGGGAAGCGTGGCTGTGCTTAAAAACACATTACAAGTACAAGACAATTAGTTTGTCTCATATAAAACGCGACTGGCTAGGTTGGGGGTGATTCCCCCCAAAAGCCGAATTTTGTTTTCCAACGGCAAGAGTTAAACGTTTTCATATTTATGAGGCTCGTAAAACTCAATGATATACAAAATTAATGACAAAAACGTAGCAAGTGGCACTTCTTCTTAGCTGGCTCCACGCTCTCTGGCGAATCGTAAAAGAAACGCTACCTCAAAAACTTTTGTCAGCATTTACCTGCCAGCGGAACGGCATTGGGGGGATTGTGTGCTGGAAACAGAGGTAACATAGAGAGGGAATGCTGGAAAACTTATTCAAGCGTCTTGTAATTTTAATTTCAAGACAGTCTGTGACTTTTTTGGCTCAAGTATTTCAGCTTGAGGAACCACTCGTTCCATCTCAGCTTCTTTGCGCAGTTCTTTTCGACCTGCGTCTATCTCTCAGAGTGTCACGTACAATTTGGTTCCTTTTTTAATTGACTTTGGACCCGGGAGAAGTTTATTAGTTGAAGGAGACTTTTTGGCTTGATTTGAGCAGTAGGTGCTGTCTTGTATACGTGTATTCTTCCTGCTCATTAGAAAGGACTTGTCACATACGCCATCGTCTTCTTGAAGACCTGTACCGCCTCCCCTTTTCTGCTGAGGACCGTTTCCGGTTCCGATAAGGGAACGTGTTGTTGACTCTTGAGGGCTTGAGTTGGGACAGTACAGAACCGGGCTGAGTGGCATCCTTTTTCACTCATCACTGCATAAATTTTCCAAAGTTTATTTTTTCTTTCCGCAACGCGTTATGCATATTAATTTTTCCGGCCAAAGAAGAAAAAGTCAAGTTTTTATTTTTCCTGCTCCCAAAAGTATAGCAGAGCCATTTTTGATTTCCGTTTTTTAAGGACTGCTTGTTGTTGTTGGAAAAATATTATTACAACACCAAGTATAAGCAATTGTTGTAAATTTGTTAAGTAAGACAAGTTTCTAAGATACCCAATATAAACTAATAACGAGACACTGTATTTAAAGATGAATATATAGTATGGGTACATTTAACATGGAGAAATATGTAAGAAAAGGTTGCCTGCACCTATTGGTGTAATTGGTGAAATCAAGATTTAAAGTCCATACAGAGCAGTGCCCAGTCTGACATACAGAGAAGCCTTTCTTGACAAGCTTGGTGATGCTGATCAAACATATACAAAAACAAATACTGTATGAACAGTATCGGGTACAAAAATAGACACACATTAGTGCTGGTTTGATTTGATATATTATTAAAATGTTAAAAGTGGTTTCTTAAACATTAAAAAAATGTTGTTAGTTATATTTATTGTTTTTTATAGATCAATCTCAGGTTGTACATTGCCAATGTCTCAAATTAAAGCGTGGTCATGTCTTTAAAGCATTGCCGCCACTCCCCGAATCAAAGTTAAGCTGCAAACCAGTTCAGACTTGGCCTACGAAAACTGTAACCAGGTCACTTAACGACTTGCATACCAATTGATATACACTACAGGTAATTGTCCACTTTCAGGTGGGTCAAGCAATGGATATTTTAACGTTGTGCAGAAAATCCCAACAAGGGGATGTAGCTCAGATGGTAGAGCGCTCGCTTAGCATGTGAGAGGTACGGGGATCGATACCCCGCATCTCCAAAGGAAATGTAATTTTTTTTTTGCCCAAATACAACTACAAGCTCTGCCGAACAAAACACTTAAAACAATTAAAAACCTAGATATAAATACATAAATTTTCCAACGACACGAGAACAGAAATGGCTTAACTAGCTTAGACGGCAAACTTTGTCCTGGAACAAACTGAGGGAAAACAAAGCCAAGCCGGGGGGGAAAAAATTAAAACAAAAGCCTTTGGCTCATAAATAGCACATCATGTATCATTTACAACACCCAACTCAGCTACCTCAGTCCGTGTCGTGGAGTATCTGTAGCTGCCCGGGGGCTCAGGGACCACGTTTTCCGTCCCCCGACAGCTCCAGCTCCTGTACAGCCTGTGTTGCAGATCCAGAATCCGTCTGAGTCTACTGTGCTGACTGCTGTGGCTGTCTGGTTAATTGCTGGCAAAGTTCCCTGCGATGCAGGCAAGTAAACAAACATTGGCATATTGTCCTGATTTATGTGCGACAATGTGTTCCCTCAGCCATTGCCACAGTCTTTGAAATACACTTTGAAAATAATATGAAATATTGGCAACATACTTACAATATCAGAAATGAATATTCAATATATTCAATTCAAGTATTTAAATTGTATTCATTTTCGTTTTGATTTCTTTTTTATTAAATACAATTAAAGTAGGCAAAGCTTAGCCAGAATTGTGATAAAAATCTTTTAAATAAAATCCAAAAGCAGAATTAATTATAACCTAAGATATGTTCTAAGTGTAAAGGATGTGATGAGGGCGCAAATCAAATTACGCGTCTTGATTGCCGACATGGGGGCGGCATTGGCATCTAAGGGATGCGGATGTGAGTCCATGGATAATGCTCGCTTGGCAGCTACAAAGCAACCTTTGAATATTCATTAGTGGCAACATCTTCCCGGACATAAGCCTCAGAATGCAAAAGACAAAACTGCCGACGTCTGCGTATTTTGCGTGGCAAACAAAAAAAAGGGAAATAATCCAATTGGAGATGCGGGGTATCGATCCCCGTACCTCTCACATGCTAAGCGAGCGCTCTACCATCTGAGCTACATCCCCACATGCAATAAACTTGGCCCAAGTGTCCAAAAAAGGTGTTTGACCAAAGTGCAAGACAAGCCAAATTAACATTTTGGCCAAGAGAAAGGCAAGCTGTGGTCAGCTAAGGTTCGCTTTGGTGTCTATTTTCGGTTGGTATTTTGCTGGATTACATTGGGCAAAGTCATCTGAATATGCAATTGTTTACAAATGCTTAACTTAATTATTAATATTTTCAAAACGTCGCACTAAATTCCTATTTTGAATTAGGCAAATAAACACATTTATTTTAAAAGCTGTAGCAAAAGAGAAATATTTTAATTTGCCGTAGTAAAAAGCGTTGCTAATAATATTTGCCAGCAAATATAAATAGCAATTCTATGAGGCATTTTTAACAATCAGTCAAAATGATAGACCTTTGGCGGACAGACATTGTTATAGTCCTAACACTTTGGTATAGGTTCATAACAATAATAACACAACTGGAAGAAGATTCTACCTTCTATAACGATTATACTTATACCGAACCTTAATATCTTTTAAAACATGTGTTATTAAATAAGTTCAAGTGTTTATTTTTGTAAATTTAATTTAATTTTTTTTTTTTTACTTTGTGAAATAATAAATGTTATTTTAAGTTGGAAATTAACTGAGTTACTCTTTTATAAACATGTTATCAGGCAACAAGCATCTTATCCTGAATACAATTTTGATATCCACCCAATAATCCTGAGGAAAGTAAAGTCTTGAACCCAGCTATTTATCGTAAAGAACTTACCAGAAAAAAAAGCAAAACCATTTAAAAATTGCAGCTTGCCGAAAAGTTTCCAAAGCCTCCCGCATAATCAACTCTGTCCCTAAGAGTTTTTGCAGGGGAAAAAGACTCCATGAAACGGCAAAAGTAAGAAATAACAAACAAACAATAAAATATTGGGCACATTAATGTTTAGTCAGACGTAAAATTACTTTTAAGTCTACTTCGAGCTGTGGCCCAGAGACTCCTCCACTCCTTGGAGAATCTCAGAGACAATGCCGGGGGATTCGGCTATAAAGACGTTAGATAAACGTTAGATGCATATTTATGATTTGACACTCCAGCAGTTCGTGGCAGCAGGAAAAATGAGGAAGGGAGACTTCTTGGTCTTTGCTGTCATTTTGCTATCGCGCTCGATAATGAACGATTTTTTATATTTGCCACCACGACAAATACCTAAGAGGCA